TGATACTAGCCTTTGCCAGAAACTAGAAAAGTAGCCTACGTTTAGCCGTACCCTCCCTCTCTTTCCTTTTTTCCTTTGTCGGGGGGAGGGTGCGGCTACACGTAGGCTACTAGAAAAGCTAAGGAGAGGGAACCTGGAAGCGAAAGCAGGGACAATAGGGAGCGTAAACAACAACGATAGCGTCGTCGGTGGCGAAAACGTTTGGGAAAAAGTTATTCACACTGTTTCAAAATTCATAGCTCTCAATTCCATGCCGTTCAATTTGCCAGATAAATGGGAGAATTTTTCTGGAGTTGAATTCTGAAGGACTGTATCCAAAGTTTTAAAAAGAAAGTAAGAAAGTCCTTGACTTGAGTTCGCGTCGTTAACGAAACGTGAAATAGAGCAGTTTCACGTCGTGGTAGTGAAATGCAAAGTTTTCTTTTTTCTTATTAAACCTATTGCTTTCTTTGCCGATCTCGTTGCCGTCGTTGTTTCTTTAGCTCCCTGCTATCAGGCTGGCGATTAACTGAGCGTGCACAGGACCATGGGAAGAGGTAAAAAGCAGGAGCTTCCTCAAGCTTCTCTCTTTTACTAGTATCCAGTTCACCGCGGATCTTAGATTATGGTGACTCGGAAGACGTCTCTGCGAAAAAGCGGAGCCTTACACAACACTACTACACTTACTAGATAATATGTAAAAAGACCATTGAAAAGCACTTCAAAGCCAAAGAGAGTGGAAAATAAGCTCAACTGGTACTTTTAGCTTTCTGAGTTATTTTCTTCTTTTTTATTGAGTACCGAGCCCGGCGATCAGCGCCTTGCTGAGTAGCCTGCGAGCAAGCTCTTTCGTTTTTGGGGGAGTCGCGCCTGAGAGCAGCACGCGCTACTGACTGAGTGAATCAAACTTCAATTTTGTAAAAGCGCTATTCGACAAAACAATCACATGATCGAATAAAGTCAGTAACGACAAAATTTACTGAAATAGTTTATGTCTCGAAACGTTTTAATTTTATTTTCAACTGCTTAAAAAGCCTTTATATCACATTTAGAGGAGGTAGGTTCAGTCCAGCTTATAAAACACAGTCCGCAACACAAATAACAAATCTTTTAAAGCTTGTGGTGTCAAGCGCTTTAAGCTCAAAAGGCGGGCTGACCAATCTCTTTAAGGGATTCTGATAAAACACAGTCCGCAACACAAATAAAGAATCGTAAGCGCTTTAAGCTCTCTTCAAGGGATTCTGACACCAAGCAGATAATGCAAAAACTTGTCGGTTGTACAGAGACAAATTGTAATGGATGATGAACTGCTTAGATACACGTGCACGTCACGTGATATAAAGGGTCCTTTATCACTCTTACTTGTCAAATAAATTAGAAATAGTTCAGTTTTGAAAAATAAATTACAATTCTTAGGTTTCCTTTAGGCTCAACCTCCAATCATCCGCTTATTATGGCAAAGACCTTTAATGAAATCAGGCTCTTCCCTTATGCAATTGCACAGCGAACATTTTAAAACTTTTAGTAACGTGAAGTGGTTGCTAAGAACATTTGTCGTAAACCAACATCGCCTTCAGTAACAAAGAGACAACCTGCTTTTCATAAGAATTAAGTTTCCTAAACTAATATTTTGTTTATTGCGTCCATCGCATTTTTGTCGGTTTTAGTCATGTTTTATTTCAGTCTTAGGCATTGTCAACTTCGGTTTTTATTCTTTTCGACGATCGTTGTAAAATATCATATTTATCAGTGGTTATGTTTGATCCTCTTAGAGGTTTCTTCAGTCACGGTGAATATTGTAGATTTTTATCTATAACACACTTGAATGACTACTTTTATTATGCTATTTTGGAATATATATTGGAGTTTTAACTGGATATTGAAATGACTCGCACAAAAAAATCTCCAATTTGAGCAGGGCAACGGGAATCAGTGAAACGTCATTGCTTTGGGCCAGTTGGCAAGCGTGATTTTATGATTAAGAACTTGCGCTTTGTTTATTTTTCTTTCCATTAACTTATTTCCATTCCCAGAAAAGCGCCGTTTTCTTCCATTTTCTCTTTATCACTGACTGAACTTAGGAGTAAGTGGCTTAGCCATTTCCCATGGATCGAAGCTTTGATCAATCGAACAACTGATCTGTATAGTCTTGTCCAGATCGCAATCATGTAAATTTGATTTGTTGTTCTCTAATCTGTTGCGAAAGCCACTCCAATCCCTCGTAAAGCCCCTTCCCTTTCAGCGCGCACGTGGCCTGTATATACCATCTTCTCCCTTTCAGGGTATGCAGCCCTAACTTCTCGCTCAGTTCCGCGGTGGACATTGCATTGGGTAGATCCTGTTTATTTGCAAAGATCAAAAGGACAGCTTCTTGTAATTCGTCTTCGGCCAGCAGCTTAAACAGTTCATTTTTCGCCTCATCCACGCGATTCCTATCGCTGCTATCCACAACAAAAATAAGTCCCTGAGTTTCTTGATAGTAAAGACGCCACAAAACGCGGATCTTATCCTGTCCGCCGATATCCCAGACCGTAAAACTGATGTTTTTGTATTCCACAGTCTCCACATTAAACCCTATTGTCGGGATCGTGGTAATTGGTTCATCTAGTTTCAGCTGATACAAGATGGTTGTTTTTCCTGCCGCATCTAAACCTACCATCAATATACGCACTTCTTCCTTGCCAAACAAACGTTTAAACAGCCTAATGAGGGTATTACCCATGATGGTTGAATTTTTCCTCCTGAACGGTCCGATCAGACTTCCCTATTTCACGCATCAGTTAAAAATGTGTGATGATCAATATTTCATAAGTGACCTGCAATGGTGCGATTTTCTTCTCCTTAATGCGCATGCACCAAATGGCATACCTGTAAGAGAGCTTGATTTCCTCAGCGACCCTTTTAAAACCGATACTCACGCTGACGACACTTATTGATATTAGAGGTGATAAGCATCACGTTTACACCAAACGGCAAACACGAATTTGCAGCACGTGACCAAGTTCCTCCTTTACTTGTCGTTTACTGTTCATTATTTCTTCACGTAAATGATTCGTTTCACGCAATTTCTTATCCACAACAATTTTTTGAGCTGTTTTTATCTGCTTATTTTCTATTTTGAGAAATTCTTAACTTGAATTGAATCTGACTTTTGTTGTTTGCCGAATACGTGAAGTATCTCTTACAGGGGCGGATCTAGGGGGAGGGTGCAGGGGGTGCGCAACCCCCCGCCTGAGATGACCTGCGGTTTTCTAATACAACGGGTATTCTGCCCAAAAAAAAAACTATGTGGTTTATTGGTGTTGAAGTAGAGCAAGAGACGAGTGCACCCCCTCCTAAAAAAAGCCTGGATCCGCCCCTGTGTTAATTAATTTTCCAACCAGAAGCGCATTGGTTCTTGTGTCCAGGGAAAAGTTACTCGCAGGCTACATAGTAATTTAATAGGAAATCCTCATTTTTAAGGAATCTTTTGTCCACGAAGTGTTTTCCTTCAGCTTACAGGGGCGGATCTAAGGGGAGGGTGCAGGGGGTACGCACCCCCCTCCCCCCTGAGATGACCTGCGGTTTTGCTAATACAACTGGTATTCTGCAAAAAAAAAAAAAATATATATATATATATGTGGTTTATTGGTGTTGAAGTAGAGCAAGAGACGAGTGCACTCCCTCCTTAAAAAAAATCCTGGATCCGCCCCTGCTTAGTTGGCAGGAACTCGGCGCGAAGATTAAACATGGACCCGTTGCAGCTGATTTAAAACTGACAGCTTACATGTAGGATAGATAGATCTCCTTGTCTGTTTGAAACCTTGATTGCTAAACAAAGCCGAATACAAATTTACCATTCAATTCAAACAAGAAAGGATATCCTCTTTTGTTTCAAACTGTTGACTAGTTTCCTCGGAAACTGAATTAACCAAACGTGTTTAACAAAGCAGTTATTAATACTAATCTTTTGATCGACAGGTGATTCGCTAGTGAATTGTGACATCGTAAGTGTCAAATTTACGACATTTATTTTAGTTTAGCCTTCGTTACTTAGTAGTCAGCTTGCCATTAAATGCCATAAAAGTGTGAAAACGTGCACCGTTGTACTCGAAGAAACGTTTTTTAATATCCTTTTCTCCCGCCAAGTTGCTTGAGGTCATTGAGGGACAACCAAAATCAAACACAGGCTTAAAAGTAGTTACCGCGCTTGGAAACATCAACTCCTGTAGCTGGACTATCGCTTGTGCGAAACTCGAACTTGGTAACTTCTCTCAGAGGGTATCTGCTTTTTTGGCTTACTATGTCATAACTTAGTATTTGTCACTAAAAACGATATTAAACGTCAGAATGATCAGAGTCAGAAATCGAGTTATGTCTCGGTTCTTGTAAAGATTCCCCTTGAAATAGAGCTTAATAGATTTGGGGTTCATAAATTCAACTTCATGATCAAATCTGTCCAGATTCGTTATTCTTGTAATTAGACGACTAGCAGCTTTCCTCGATAGGTTTTGCTTGGTTGTTTTAATTGGGAGAAAATGTGATAAGTTTTTCTTTTGCCTGTAAAATACTGCGTTTAAATGTCTCTTAAAATACCGTAAAACAATAAACAAGAAGACGACGATTCGTCGACGTTGACTCAACAAACCTGAGTATCGAGTCAAAACATAACGGCTGGTAACAAATAAGTACCAAATTTAAGAAATAAATAAATCAATAAATAATACTTAATTAAAACCATTAAAGTGTGAAATATATATATTTTTTTAAAGAAAGAGCTTAGCACCGATGATATTGGCCTGGATGTTTTTGTGTTCTTTTATAGAGAGCATCTCTTAGCTAGATGAGGCATTCAAAATTTCCTGATCCTGGGCACTTTCGAAGAATTCGAACTTGGCTCTTATTTTTCATTGAGAAGAAAGAATTGCCTTATTTTCCCTTGACACTACCAAGAAAAACTTTTAAGGATAATTTAGAATTTTATTTGTTTTACAGGTGAAGAATCCAATGGAGGAGATGACGGATACACTATGGAGGAATACTTAGCAAAGATGGATAAAGTTCGAAGAGAATCGGAAGAAAACAGAAAATTTTGGAAAGAAGAATTACGCTCAATGAACAAATGGGAAAAATACGGTCTTGGTTAAAACAAAAAGTGAAAATAGATCAAGCGATCAATTACATTCACCAAATTTCATTCGATGCCGCTAAGTTTTGTTTTCCTTCACCTTAAAGTTGTGTCAAGAAAATGTCGTTGAAATTTTTTGTGATTCCTCAAGCCTGGTTTTGTACTAGTGACGGGAGCATATTGCATCGCAAGCACAACTGGAACGAAGCTGAGCCTGGCCAATTAAATCGCTCGTTCCAGCTTCATTCATACCACCATTTTGGAACAAAACAGAACAAAATGGAGGATCGATGATAATTTAAGCTCCTAAGTTTTGAAAAGTTTTATAAACAGAAGAGAACTAGGGATTAAAAAGTGTCATCTTGGCACTTGCATGTGTGCTTACGTTGCTAGAAAGATGGTCCCTAGTGAAAACCAGGCTAAAGATTTGTGAAGACCAACTTCGATGATTTCAAATGTATATTGTGGATGACAATTTGATGATTTTTCTAAATTTAATCATTTGTGTTTTTCTTAAGTCAGGTAATAAAGCAGAACAATATTTTTTGAGGAGTATCTTACAAATCTTTTTAACCCGTGGAAAGAAACATTATTAGGCCACTGAAGTGGTAAGTGAAATAGCCACGTCCTTCCACTCTTCTCCACGCCATTCCGCCCTCCTGTCGATCGGTTGGTTGATCGGCTCTCCCGTCGATTTTGCTATCACAGGCACCCCAAGCTAGCAGGTTCATAATCTGGGGTATCTGCCACGATTTTGCTTGGCCCGTTAGCTTTTGTTTTCAAGGTGGTCAATGAGGGAACATTGGGATGCCCCTCACCAGAGGGGGTGGGGGCACAAGGGCACCCCATGCTCCCCCCCCCCCTTTTCAACGCCACTGGCCGGCTTAGAGGGTAAACGAAAAAAGCTGAATAACGGCAGGACCAAACCGCAGGTAACCATTTTGGAGAGGTGTCTGTAAAGAGAAAGCTAACTGTATTCCGATCCAAAGGGACCAATTACAACAGGAAGGTGTGCGCGTGGTGTGACCGGAAGCGGAGGTAGATCGTGGAAGTCGAAATTTCTTCCAAAAATGTAACACAATGTCCACAAAAGTAGAAAGATAAGATCAAAAAAGGGGACACGAGAATTTACAAGTCATTCACTGACTCAAAAATGTCATGTAGTTCGTTCCATACGGTGTACTTGTAAGACTTCATATTACGTGAAAGAAATATGAGAAGTCAAGACTGGCTGGTAGTCGATTTTAGTGTGTATAGCAAACACAGGCCGTATATCATGTCGCGTGACATTTTCTTTCAGAACAGATGGCCATGTGGTCATAATTGATTACTATTCTGTCGATCCGAACAGCTCAAGTTTGTTTTGCTTCCTCTTTGCCTGTAACCATCGTTTTTTGCACTCCTTGTAAGCACTGAAATAGTCTTCGCACTTGCTGTGGTCGAAATTATTCTCAGTCAAGCACTTGTAAGAGGCCTCCATAGCTTCGGAACATGGAAATCCATCGAAAAATCTGTGTGCGTTCGGGTCCATTCCAGGGGTATGGCCTTTTGGACGACTCATCTTCTTCGTTGCAAAAAGAAGTAATCTGTGAGTATTTATCAAGTTAATTGCGGTATTTGTTGAAAAAAACATATACAGCTCTTCGAAAAACAACACAATTTTGTCATTGAGATTGCGTGACTATAAACTACGTGACCAATCTGCAATAGAAAAGCGGATTTCGAGCTAAAGTCATGCGTTTTAGTACCCAAACTGGTTTCCCGCCAAAAAATTAAAATGTGGTAGTGTTCGCGATTGTATTCACGTTTTGAGTCGTAAACAGACATTTCCTTTTCTTTCGATGGCTGATTGAAAAAAACCTTGGGTCACTGTTAAAATCCTTCAAAGCATGGTTCTTCTACATAGTGGCAAGAGGAAGAAAGGAGATGGGGAGCAAGGCGATGATAGCGATTCACGCTCGCGATCCAGGTAACAGGCGCCATCTTGGATTTGTTCGGCGATAGTCAACTTTGTGTACTCTTCAAACCTTTGAAAAAAGACTTTCGATTTCTCAAAATGGAAAAATGAAAGGATCAAGAACAATTAAATTGAAAATTTTTGTTTATCTGTTACTTAACTTGTAGTAACTTTCTCGTAGGCCTGATGAAGGCGCGTCAACGGAGGCCAGATTGAATAGGATTCAATCTAATGACGCTCTTGACGTTAAGTACGGCTTTGATCGCTACAAGGAGTCAGTGGAGAGGCTAGGATGGTTGATGAATATGCACCCAGTAAGTTAACTGTCGACCTTTGAATTCTGCATTTCAACGAAACAGACTTTACAAATGTACAAAAAAACGTACATCACAATGGAGTTCAGGGACCTGTATGTTTCTTTCTGCTGTAATGAGAAGATTGATGCTGATCATCTTGAAACTTAAATCTTTAATTACAATACCCCTAAAACAGCGTAACTATACTAGGTGTGTTAAAAGGCCAAAGAGGATATCTACAAAAAGTTACTGTAGACTTACCAAGGTATATTTTTTTATTTTCAGACAGAAATTATTGATGATGACAAGAAGATGATCAGTGCTGTTGACCTTTACTTTATTCAGGATGATGGAGGGTGCTTTAGGGTATGATAACAACAAATTGCAATGTGAGATCAGGTGCCAGTTCATGGGAAGCCCATAAAGGCTGGTTTTCACTAGCGACGGAGTCGGAGTCCTAATTGGAAGTGTAGACTCCGTCGCTTACATTCCACTTATGATCTAGTGAAAACCAGATTGTTGGAGTTGGAAGCAGAAGAACCAAACCAATCACAAAACGTGGGAACGTGCATTGTGATTGGTTTATCCTTCCACTTCTGCTTCTGATGCTGACGATCTAGTTTTCACTAGATCATGTAAGCGAAGGAGTCGTAAGCGGAGTCGGAAGAAATGGAAACGTTCTGATTCTTCTGACTCCGATTCTGTCGCGCTTATGACTCCGCTTACGACTCCGATTTTTGATTTTCACTAGGTCATAAGCGCTCTTACGACTCCGACTGCGACTCCATCGCTAGTGAAAACCAGCCTTAGATGCTAACCCAGGATTAAACACCGCTAATCACATGATATATTTTATCCCACAATTAGATTCCGTTCCTGGAAGCATGATTAATCCGAATCTAGGAATAAACTGCGTGTTAAATTTAACCCACCTTGTGAGGTCAATTAAAATGTAAATCAGGTAACAAGTTTGTCAAAACAAACAAAATGGCGGACTAACCGTACCCTTTATTGGTCCACAAATATCCGAAAGAAAGTTCCAACAGCAAGAAATTGATCTCCACCAATTCACTGACTAAGAACTTTGCGGCAGATTTAGTTTTGGCCAAGAGTCAGTAAAATAATATTATCTGGTAGAAATCCTCAAAGAAAACCTTTCCAGCAACTGGGACCATAGCCTTTTTTATTTTGCTTGGCAAATAAAACCCATGTGAAAGAAGTTAAGAGCACTGCTAAAAGTCAGATCATTCAAAGGGTTAACAGTGATAATCAGAGTTCCATTGCTGGCCACATTTTTTTCCTCGTTGAGTTACACAGAGGGATCCGCATGGAGAGATTTCAGAGAGGCAAAACCTAAGTTTTATTAGATTAATAAAATCAGGTTCAGTTTGGGAAAATGTGATCATTAATAGAGTAGTTTCTATGGACTCCATTTCAGTATGTGTTCTCTTTTTAATTTGTCCTCTAGGTGGCCTTACCTTACAAGCCTTATTTTTACATCCTTGCAAAGAAGGTAAGCTTCTCTCGGGTCTTTTGTAATCACATGGCAGTACTAGTGTTATGCACCTGTCTGCGTCTAGCCACAGTTGGAAAGGGTAGGGGTACACGGGAAACTGTTATCAAAGCTATACTAACGTGCATAGCAGGCACTTGCAAGTAATTTGGATACAAGATAAAACAGGGCGTGTTCTTAGAGGTTTGTCACACATTCCTGTCCCACAAATGCCTGCTGAAACAAGCGGTGAATTCCTTTTCCATTGTTTGCAAATATCAGCTGGGGCTCATGTGCAGATTGTTGGAGAAGCAATTGGCACTATTGAAGTCAAAGTGTTGACAAGCCAAACATGACGTACAAGCTCAATAGAGTCGTAGGTCGTATACAGTATCTCATATTATTTTGTTTTAGTCCTATTCATGACTGCAATTTTCCTGATTCCTAACACTGGGACTTGTTTTATCATGTTACAGGACACCGATCGTGAAGTTGCAACTTTTTTGAACAGAAAGTTTGGTGGATTGATAGCAAGCATTGAAACTGTAGCTAAAGAAGATCTAGACTTGGTAAGGTTTACATTTAGAGTATTTAGGTTTGGTGATTCAATTTTATCCTTGGAGGTTAGCACCCTGTAACATCTGCAGAGTTCCTCATATCATACAAAACCCATTATCTGTCCTTTAAACCCACCAACAATAGATGGGTGTGGGAAAGGTTCCTGGAGAAGTGGAAGGGGGCCGCAAGCGATCTTAGAAGGTAACCATGACAACCCTGAGAGCGGCACCCACCAGGCACCGTCACACTGAGAACCTCCGTGGAAAGAGGCGCAGATACTTACCAAAACAGCATCCAGAGAGGAGAAAGGGCTGGGGGTAAAAAACAACTATAACTGCTGTACGCGCAAGAAAACATGAGCAAAATGATTGACTTCTGCGAAAGTGCTGTAAAATCCCTAAGGGCCTGCTAAACCCCAAGACCGCCCCACATACGATTAGTGGTGGAGACCGCTGGTCAGTATAGTCTCGCGTTTAGCCTTGCCTAAATTACATTTAGCCACATATAAAGCGCAAATTTATTTGAACAAAATAATGTATTTACAAGAGAAAAGAGTTCAATTCCCACAGGACTGACTTGGTACAACAATATGGCTGCTATGATTTCGTCTGAAAATGCTCTATGAATTTTTAATTGTTGGATGTCTAGTATTATTGGATTCTAGGAATTGATGGAATTCTTCCAAATAATTTTGGTCAGCATAGATGCATTGTGAAAAAAAGTAGATAGGAAATTTGAGAAATGGAGAAACATTTCAAATGGATGGAAAAGTTAATATTATTTTTATGGAACCAAATTTTTCTTTGTTGTTTAATGTGGTATACTCTTTTTTGTAATTTTTAGAACAACCACCTTGTGGGACTAAAGAGAGACTATATAAAACTGTCATTTTTGACTGTGAATGACTTGATGAAAGTCAAGAGGTATGTTTGAAATGTAATTCATGTTATTGTCCGTAAGGTAGAATCTCGCTGTCAGGTCAATGCAGTTTTTTCTATCAAGAACAGTAAACTTATGCAATGTAACGGGATGGGAGACAGAAGAAGATGGAAGACCTTGCTTGACAAAGCATGACAATAATTATGTTTTTGGGACGTTTTTGGCCTTACCACATCCAGGCCAATCCAGTGCAGTATACTCCACTGGGGGATAGTTTGGGCTCAGGAACACTTTTGTCACATGAGGAATTTTAATGTCATACTGATCACTTTTACTTCAACTTGGAGAGTTGTCTTTTCTTCAGGCTTAAATTTAATACAGCATACGAATCACGGCATTAATTTACAGTACCATAGAAATGTCAAATTAAATGTTTTTAAGGGATTAATGCTAGCTAGGAGACACTTTTGATCCTGTTGTTTTATCTTTTGCACAGTGACCTGGACTGTGCCTTGTGGAATATCATTCTTTGCATAAGCAAATGTAGAAATGAATCAATAAAAGTAAAAAGGTTGAAAATTTCTTATCTGCTATGTTTTGTCAAGGGAAATCATGCCAGCTGTAAGAAAGAACAAGGAACAGGCCAAGACCAATGCAGCGTACAACATTGTAATGGGCACTGATATGAACGAGGAAGAAATGATTGCCGCTAACAGAAGAAATGCTGATCAAATGTCTAATGTTATTGACATCAGGTAATCAGGATTTCTGAGTATGACGAAAATTTAAAAAATCACCTTACTTACTCAAGTAATTTTTAACCTACAATAGGCGACAAAGTTGTTGAGACATTGCACTCAAATAGGGTAACTTCAGAGAACAAAAGAATCCACACCCCTCCCCCTCCCCTCCATTCATTTTCCCCTTTTAAAAAAAAGCCCCATTTTGGCGAAGTGTCTCAACTGATTTTGTCGTTGTAGGTTGGTTACAAGTTTCCTTGGTCTCCTAGCCCTAATATTATTATTCATGAAGGAAATTGAGAATCAGTGTAGGTTAAAAAATTTACCTGAATTTAATTTTGACCTGTAATATATATAGCAGTATGTTTGGTGATCCATTAATGTCACAGGGTAACAAAGAATAAATTATTAAAGTTTAAATTATCATTTTTGTTTTTAGGGAATATGATGTTCCGTACCATGTGAGGGTAGCAATTGACCTCAAAATTTTTGTGGTGAGTTAAATTTGCAGTTTTTGTCTTAGAACTTTAAAGCAAAAGAAGAAAAATAAAGCTAATATTAAAATGTTAATTTCTTTCCTGTTTAAGGGTCACTGGTATAATGTGAAAGTGCGTGGTGGAATTCATGCTGAGCTCACACTAAGAGATGACCTCTTGGACAGGCCAGTAAGTTTTGTCTTCTGTGTAGAAGAATAAACTGACGTTCGTTTTGAAATTTGTGGTGTTATATTTTCTGCTGACTTATGGTTTATGTATGGTTATCCTCTGGCTTTTGAATGGCTTTACCTACAAAGTACTGTTTAAAAAATGAGCAGGAGCACATTATCAGGTTTAAAAACGCTAGGTGAAGCCAAGAGTTTTTACGCCTGATAATACACGACTGTGACTTCTTTGATTGGCTTTAAAATCTCAGATATAGATCAACTCATTCTTGCACTAATAATAATTTAGATTTGGGGTTATTTTGGTCTAAAAAACTGGATGTAAAGTTTAGCCGTATCTTTATCAGATATAAAGACACTTGTTAAATATCAATTTCTTTTGTTTTTTCTTTATGAATTATTAAGTGCTGTTTCATACGTATGAATGTAAACTAACAATGTTTTTCTGTATTTTTCTCTCAAGGATCCTGTGGTATTGGCATTTGATATTGAGACGACAAAGTTGCCACTGAAGTTTCCCGATTCTAGCACAGACTCCATTATGATGATTTCCTATATGATTGATGGCCAGGTATGACCCTTCTTTCTTAAAATGCAATGACAAACTCTGTATCTGTGAAGCCGTCAGGTTGTCCTTGTTCAGTAGCTGGACTGTCTCCTTACAGTTATGCTAAACATCCTGAGTCCCCTTGCCCCGCCCAGCTCCTTGTGGTACACCACAGATAGCTTACCTAGTGCAAAGTCAAGAGATGCTGTTGCAACAGTTATGATCATGCACATACTGGTGAACCATTTCTATAAAGATGTATGTCTTTAATAATTGAAGTTCAGGAAAAGCAATCCACACAGGGCGGTGTGAATGAACATAGATTTAGTGGCATTTTAGAGTGAATAATTGTGTTGAGTGATTTTTTTGATTTGTATTAACTGATCAAGATCTGCGTGTGCCAACAAAAGTTGGAGTGATAAAGGGTCGCTAACATTCAACGTAAGAAATTAACATTTTTTGCAGGGCTTTTTAATCATTAACAGAGAGATAGTATCAGAAGACATTGAAGATTTTGAGTACACTCCCAAACCTGAATATGAAGGACAATTTACAGTAATTAATGAACCAGATGAGGTACAAGTTTGCAATCTTATATTAGTAGAATATATATATTTTTTGATTGGTTGGTTGGGGATGGGGTTTTAGACATGAGCATTCCACGTAAATTGCAGTGTTGGGATACCAGGCTGCTCCCTGGTTTGACCCCCACTACACCCTCCCAAGCCCTAATAATGTTCCAGTTTCACTTCCTACTTGTCTTTCTTTTGCAATAGAACTTCAGAGATAGCGTGCAAAGAAAGTAGTGTCTGATAGCCCGTGGGTAATGGATTTTGCCATTGGGCTAGTGAATTCTGTTTTTACTTTTCCTGATGGGCAAGTGACGTCTTTTGAGGAAATCGAATAACAGAAGAACTGTGAAACCAGTTCTGCTAGTCGCGTAGTTTTTAAGGGTAGTTGAAATGACGTCTGGGCGAGTAAATGCTAGCTTCAGCTTGCCCGAATGGCACGCTGTAAAAATGATTTTCTTTGCACCCTAACAGAGGAAAAATAACTCTTTTATTTTTCTCTTAGGCAAGCCTCTTACAGCGATTCTTTGAGCACATACTTGAAGTCAAACCAAATATCTTTGTAACTTATAATGGAGACTCCTTTGATTGGTAGGTATTGTGTGTACAGTGTACTGTTTGTCAATTCCTCCATCAACACAGCAACACAGCTTCTTTACAAACTCTCTCCCTCATTCATATTTAGTCAAGGGTTACTTTCAACATGATTTATTGATGAAACTAAACTGTAAGAACAGCCAGGAATGAAGAATTCTACAAGGGTGTCAGCTTTCATCCTAATCTTGTACATAGTCCCATGTTAGTTGTCCAGTTTTTAGCAGTAGATGTGACAACATTTAATAACTTTTTATAGAAATTAGAAAATCCATATTTTGCATTTTAATTTTTCACTATGTATTTGATTTATGCATGGAAAATTTTCCTCAGTGGATATTTGAACTTGACATGTTAATTTGATATGAATGTTCAGTTACTGTTTTTTGTTGCTTGTCAGGCCATTTGTTGAAGCTCGTGCTGCCCATCATGGTGTTAGCATGTACGAGGAAATTGGTAGGTACAAAATCATCCAGCAAGGCTGTGCTCTGGCACTTCCTGGTGGCCTCTGGTAACTAACTTTTACCTTTGTTTGACAAGAAAAGCTTACATGTAACTTTTCCTGCAAAATTAATCAGAAATGTAACTTGTACAGCAATGATTGTTGACATTATTTGTATGATAACTAATATTGTGATTGTCAGTGGCATCTGCTGGTAAAAAACTGTCCCAGCTGCCTGTGTCACTGACTGAAAAAACATCTTTATCAGTAGTTTTTTTTTTGCCCATCAAAGTTTAAATAAAACAAATGCTGGACACTGTTGTTAGTCCTGGAATCTTGTGTTTTGATTTATTCATTTGCCACTTTAGAAAAGATAGGGAAAAGATAGGGTTACTGGGACAAGGGAAAAATATTGGCCGATAGCAGACTGGCGTGTCCTCAGTAATGATCCTAGAAGTCTTTCCGAAAGTTACTTGGCCAAGTTTTCTCTTCATTTCTAAAGTGGCCAATGATATCTGCCAATCCTTACATGTATGACTCCCAAGTAAACTAAATGATTATTATTCAACTTTTAGGGTTCGTTGCTGATGCACAAGGAGAGTACAAAAGCAGGCCTGCTATACACATGGATGCTTTCAGGTCACTTTGCTATATTATTATTATTATTATTTTGTTTCTTCAATATTTTTGTGAGGTGCTCATTGCCAATACCTGCTTTTTAACAGTTTTCTATCATATTGTTTCCTTAGATGGGTGAAAAGAGACAGCTACCTCCCTGTTGGAAGTCAAAACCTGAAGGCTACCACTAAAGTAGGCAACTATCGCTATTTTGTCAGGGCTGTCATTAAGAGCTGGCGGCCTGGGATTTCCCGCGGCTACTATGAATGTGACCCCTTGCTACTTTCATTGGAAAATAGAAGAAAAAAAAGGACCAAAAGAAATCCTTAGCTGTTTGATTCCCCATCTACTTGTTATATTTACCTGGGAACTTGAAATCTTAGTGACAAGAACCCTGTTTGTAGTATTGCATTGATTGGGAATTTACCAGTAAACATTGCGTTGAGAATGTTATGATCTCAATGATTTGTTGCATGTGACCATTCTTGTTCCCACAGCTGCCATCATTGTGGTTAGGGGCATAATGATGGGCTGGCGTACCGAAAATGGAAGCCCTTGGACATCTGGGCACCCACCTCCGCTAGCGATGCAGTTGTTAAAGGATGATGTATCTCAGCTAAATTGTGTATAGTTAGCTTATCTCAGTCTGTTGTTTCCTAGGCAAAACTTCGCTATGATCCGATCGAGTTAGACCCTGAAGAAATGTGTCGCATGGCAAGTGAACAACCCCAGGTGAGCACAGATCTCTCTCCCTTTTGACTAGGTGGTATGACTAGAAAGCCTTCAATTGTGGGAGCTTGTCACTACACCACATGTACATATGACTCTGGTACCATACAGTTAGCCCCAGACCTTGTGGACACACCAAGGTCCACAAGGTGGGGGTTTGTGGATATAAGAGTCTGTAATGGCAGGGTTTTTTTGGTCATACATGTCTGTAATTTATTTTTGCTGGGGATTAAGCTGCTCTCTGTGTTTATTGGGTGACATTTATAGGAAGGTGTCCGCATGACATGGGTTGTCAGTATTGAGTCGTTGGTCGGAGTTAAGAAAGTCCCATGTGAAAAATTTTAAGATCATTTCAGGAGGCCTTCAATGAAATCATATCCTCTAGAGACGGACGTATTTTATGTTTTTTGCATTATTCCAGGAACTAGCCAATTACTCAGTATCTGATGCTGTAGCCACTTATTACCTGTACATGAAGTATGTCCATCCGTTTATCTTTGCACTCTGTACCATCATCCCCATGGAACCAGATGAGGTATGTCACCAATAATAATTTCTATGTATAAATGGCCATTTTTATGCTGGAGATGTTGAGATGACTTTAATTTCTAGAATAAAAATGGGAAAAAAGACATGTATTTAACGTCTGATGACATTAACAGATGAATTAAATGTCTCAGATGTAAAATGTGTCTAGTATAAAAACAGGACACCTTAAACTGAGATGCTTTCATGCCTAACTTGTCTAGAGAGGACTGGGAAGAGCCAGAGTTGTGTATTTTTTACAGAAAACTCTGTGTTTTACAATGGTAATCATCCCATTTTTATACCAGACCACTTTAGTGTCTCCTCAGACGTTAAATGCATCTAGATGACTTTAACCCATTCACCCCTGAGCTGCCTGTAACCGCCCATGAGCTTTATGTCTCAGCTTTAAGCACGGTAAAGATAAAAGAGGACATGTTATTGGCCAAATAAGTTTCTCTCTGATTGTCAGTTTACCGGGAACATTAAGCTTTTTTATTAATCAATCATCATAAACATTTTGATCATTGTATTTACAGTTGTGTAAGAGATGTAATGTTGATGATGAAAGGTCTTTTGCCTGATGCCATCACCTGTATGTCATTGGCATATTGTTTCGTTGTGCTGAAAGTGAGGAATTACAACTTATTGCAGGTTCTTAGAAAAGGCTCAGGAACACTCTGTGAAGCTCTACTAATGGTACAGGCCTTTCATGCAAACATTATATACCCAAATAAACAAGAACAGGTACAGAAGTACTTTAGTTATGTTGATTTATTCATTATTTATTTTGCATGTTTGATAACTGTTGTGGAGAATTTGACATGTAAACGTACTCATAACAACCTTTATTATTTTTTATCTATTATTATTATTATTATTATTAATTAATTGTTATTATTATTATTATTGTTATTTAATACTGTATTTCAATAATATATTACTTCCTAATGGTTCATTTCATAGCTAAAATTTGTTCTCAGATTAAGCTTGTATTTATCATTGATTGATTCGGAGTATCCTTAGTTTGTTTCCCAGCCCTGATTATTCATGGGGTACAAACAAAATTCCAGTTTCACCCAAGAACAGATTTCATCCGCAATATGTACAAACCTTTTGTGAAGGCATTTGTGGCTGAACAGTTTTTACCTCGAACTCTGGATCTGGAGGTCTGAGGCTCAAGCCTCACTGTTGCGTTGTTTCCTTAGACAAGGAACGTTACTTCACATTGTCTCTCTTCACCCAGGTGTATAAATCGGTACTGGCGACATACCGCTGGGTGTAACCCTGCAATGGACTAGCATTCTGTCTAGGGGGGAGTAGCAATACTCAGGCATGCTTCATACTAAGGAAACCCCACCTTTACCTATGTAAATCGTAGTTCTGCCAGTCTAAACCAATAGTATACATCACACATTTTTATAGGTTTTCAACAAACTGACCAATGATGGTCATGTCCTTGACTCGGAGACGTATGTTGGAGGCCATGTCGAAGCACTGGAATCTGGTGTCTTCAGAAGTGACATTCCTTGTCGATTCAGATTGGTAATTACAACATTCTTAGTACTCCTATTGTGATTATTTTACGGTACAGGTAAATTCTGGTCTCGATGAGTGTTTTCAAAATCTACTTAAATTTAAAGTCAGTGTACCTGTTGAATAGAACATAGTGTGGTGAATCTTGGGGAGGGGTTACTTCCTTATTATATAGGATACATAGGTATGTGCCGCTGTTAAGGGGAAGGTTTTCAAGCAGTTTAGTCTGGGGTGAAAGGGTTATTGTGTTGTCATCATTAGTCTATCCTTACTTTAAACTTGACATTAAACAAGATGAAATACGAAAAGCCTTGTTAATCAAGCAAGAAACTAGATTAATCGAATGACTTCGCTCCTTTTTGCTAATTCCTAGTATTTTGGAGCAATTCTCATAGGGGGCGTCTATTAGACAGGGGGCAGTTATTAGAGAGGGGCGTTTAATTCAATTTTAACAGCGTAGAGGGGGCGTTTACAAGATAAGAGGCATTTATTTGGAAGTGGGTGTTTATTAGGTCATTTACGGTGTAGGCTATGGGTTCCGAGGTCCCACTGGCACATCCCTACCCAAACATTCCAAAAGTTTTGTATGTGTAGTAATAGTAGAGTAATAAATTATTATTTAAGAACACTATCACTCTTAATAATAACTAAAATAAATTAATTATATGGTTTTTGTTGAAGGTTCCTGATGCATTTCAGAAACTGATCAACAGTGTTGAAAGTACCATGCGACATGCGATTGTAGAAGAAGAGCATATTCCCTTTGACACTGTTACAAATTTTGATGAGGTAATGAATTTACCCCTTAAAAACAAACAGAGGTTTCTTTAATCTCATGTTCTCCTATGTAGTGGATGAGGGCTGGGAGAAGGACAGGAAGGTAAAATTAAGCCTTTAGACAGTGGATTTGTCGGGATTGGTTCTAAGGGAAGGTATTTTGCCTCAGTGTTTTAAGTGTTTTTGCCTCAGTGAAGGTGTGGGGAAGGGGGGAGGGGTTGGGCGGTTTGATGTAGTGCTTCACTAAAGCTAAGAAAGGGAGTGGTATTGGTTGTCCCATTTTACCTAGTAAAGGTAAATATAGGGAAATACAGTTGACTCCCGAAAATTCGAACCTTCAAGGGAAGTAGGAAAAAGTTCGAGTTACTGGGAGTTCAAGTTATCTAGGATTAAATTTTTTTACTATTTCGCCGTTTGCACATCTCCCATAAATATACACGTACCCTGTTTGCTGCAACCCCCCTTCAATTTTACATAACCCTTGTTTTTCATTTCCTCTTGGTATTACGGTGCATCCTAAGGGAAATTAAAGAATATGCTCATTCAAAATTTTTGGAGGACAAACAAGGTGTACTATGAGGATGTGCAAATGGAAAATTTGGCTCCTCTTTCTTGCCTGATATAGAAGAAACCTTTCACTAAAATTATTCTTCTGTCACTTGCTAGGTGTGTGCTGAAATCAAAGAGAAACTTGGTAATTTGCGTGATACACCTGCAAGGCTGGAGAACCCTTTGATTTACCATCTTGATGTTGGTGCCATGTACCCCAATATCATCCTCACCAACAGACTTCAAGTAATTTGCTCTGTTGAGATAATTATAGAAACAAACAGATAGGCCATCACTATCAATGCTCATTATTTTCTTTGCATATCAAATGCCTCATTGTACAACTACAAAAAAAGTATCAAATGTTATAGGCCCATTTGCATATCCATTGACTTTGCCGGGAAGTGTAACTTAAAGTTGGGAAAGTTACTAAGTTCAAAGGTGATGTACATTAAAAGTTGCTCCACAAGATTGCAAAATTTTACAGACGTTTGTTGTATGGTGGGGGTTTGGGGAGCAAACGTCTAGGCTATGCTCTAGCAGAACCCAGGGACCCCTTTCTAGTCCCGCTTTGTTCTTGGGGGACTAGAAAATCTTAGTTTTTTTTCATACAAATCGTGCTGGGCACCCTAGATTTTACAGGTTCAGAGCACTGGCCTCCTTTCAATTTTTCTTAGAGTAATTTTTAAGTTGTTCTTTTTAGCTGAGTTGATGGATTTTTGCAAACTGATCCCAATAAAAAGTTGAAAAAATGGTGGAAGGATCTATTGAGTGGTAATGTTAACCCTTTAAGCCCTGAGAGTGATCAGCATCAAATTTCTCCTTGTAATATCAATGCTTTGCAAAACAAAATGGTCATGAGAATTATGGACATGATCACACAAGATGAATTTGCTTGATATTCTATCAATTTCTTCCCACTACTTCTGCAGGAAACGAATAGGGGCAACAAATGAGAATTCAAATTTTGATCTTAGGTTTTAAAGGGTTGAAGGAATGGGCTAATAGTTGTCGATCACTGATTGCCTACTGGTTTATTTCAGCCATCTGCAATGGTAGATGAAGTGACCTGTGCTGCATGTGACTTCAACAAACCAGGAGCAAAATGTCAGAGAGTCATGAACTGGACATGGAGGGGGGAATTTAGTAAGTTCTTCAGGTGCCATTTTTTTACAATCTTTTTTTCTTCCCTTCCAGGGCACTGTCACATAATGATATCAGTACAACTTGCTGTAACGGTTCAGGTTTTCAAGCCTGTTCTCTGGAAGCTCCCTGCAACTTGAGGAGTGAAAATTGCCTCCTAGTTATTGATGGCTACTCACAGAATATTGAGTGTTTTGAGGAGGATGATATTAGTCAAATGTCTCTGTTTGTCAGCACTTTCTTTCTTCAGCCACTCAGAAATCTTTGGCTATAAAAATTAATATAGTCAGTGTACTAGGTTAGGGTAGTGATATTTTGGTGCCTATATTCCAGAATAACATCGGAAAATTAATGCTTGGGAATACGATCTGGCAATGATAACAGTTTCAGGGTTCCAATGGCATAAACTTACCCTTTCCTTAAAAGTTTCTTTCCTTCGCACTTAGTTCTCTCTTCCAGTTTTCCTTTTTCTTCATATAATTATACATTAAAGACATGGATTTGGATTGTGCTGTTTTTTTTTTTCTTAGTGCCAGCAAGCCGCAATGAATACCAAACCATCAAACAGCAGTTAGAGGTTGAAAAGATTCCTGGTTTGAACCCAGGGGACCCCCATCGGTCATTTCATTCATTATCTCTTGCTGAACAAGCTCAAATGGAGAAGAAAAGGCTTCAAGGTTAAGCATTTACTATATAATAATGATAATAATAATAGTAATAACTTAAGTCTGCATTTTACACTGCCCTGTAAGTCTTTATGTGCAGTTGAAATCTCAGTGCTGGGGTTGGGGGATTCCCCTGGCTACCATGAAGGTGACCCCCAGCTACTTTCATTACAAAAATGGAAGAAAAATAGAACCCCCAAAAATCCCTGGTTGTTGGCTTTCCTGCCTACTTGTTGTATGTACCTGAAATCTTAGTGCATGACAGCCCTGAATTGTAGTTTTTTTTTCTCCAAACTATCTAAAATTAGAAAAGAAACATAATTGCTAGTACAGAACACTTTAGAAGACCAGAGAACTTTCATATCATGATATGTTTACTGCTTGTAATTCAACAGACTATTGCCACAAAGCTTACAAGAAAGTGCGCATGAGCAGGCAAGAAATTCGTAACACCATGATTTGTCAGAGAGAGAATTCGTTCTATGTTGACACTGTGCGAGCATTCCGTGATAGGAGATATGAATTCAAAGGATTACTTAAGGTTATGCATTATTCTACTTTGTTTTAACCATGTTATATTGAAACCCCTCACCCCAACACTATGTGAGAAAAAAAAATTCAGTGTTCTGCTCTCAGCTCCCAAAGTTGAAATCTCTGTTTATGGTTCCTGAACTTGTCTATGCCATGCTCCAGCCCTTGACTACAGCTAGACTACACTGAACTGAAGGCTAGGGCAGTCAGAAAGCACACTTTAAAAATTTGGACCACAAGCATATAATCAAATGATGGCTAATGCCCATTTCAGAAAATTGTCTTTGGTAGAGACGGTTAATCTAGCTACAGGACAGTGGTGTAGTCTATTGCTAACCAGCGAGACAGTTTGCTTTAACAACTGATGTATATTAATTTTGTAATAATATTACAACACAGCTGATTTTTTCTTGTTTTTGTATTAAGGTATGGAAACGTAAACTTGGAGCAGCCATGCAGAGTGGTGATGCTGAGGAAATTAAAAGGTAAGCCTAAATGAAGCAACAACTGTTGTATTAGTGAGCCTTATTATACCTGCAGTGAAACTTCTCTTCAGGCCACACCCATGATGAGCTCAGGCTGTCTGCATTAGAGACAGAATAGCGAAAAATCAGCCTCAGAAGCTGGTAACCTATTCTCCCCATAAGACAAATCAAATAGTTTAAATGTGTACTGTACAAAATTATCATTAAAGTAGTAGAAAATAAGGCCATTGTATACTGGTAATCCATTTCTGAATTTTGATTGGGCTATTAGCCTTGTTAGATGAGCTGTTATTAAGATAATTGTCATTATTTTATTCTAGCTGTAAAAGCAAGGAAGTCTTGTATGACTCTCTTCAGCTTGCACACAAGTGTATTTTGAACTCATTCTATGGTTACGTCATGAGGAAAGGGTAAGTGGTGTTTGCAGGTAACTTACTAATCACTAGCATTCAGCATAATATTCTATTTAGCTATGAACGCTGTAACAGATTAGGATTGGCTCATTTGTTCTCATCCATAATATCATTAAGGGTTTTGAATTCTCAATTTAATAATACAGCTGTCATCTTTCAGGGTTGTCACTAAGATTTCTAGTTGCTGGGTAAATACAACAAGTAGGCAGGGAATCAAACAGCTATATAGGGATTTCTTTTGCTTCTATTTTTCTTCTATTTTCCTATGAAAGTAACCGGGGGCCACGTTCTTAGTAGCCAGAGGAATTCCTCGGCCCCCGCCTCTTAATGACAACCCTGATCTTTATTTGATGTTTGTGAATTGAGCCCTATTTCACTTCCACTTCACTCTGTGTTAAGATGCATTAGTTTTCAAAAATAGATTTAAGTCATCTCAAATGTTTTTCTCTTGTGGCTGTTGATAATTCTCATATAATTCAATTATATATATATTTTTAATTTAATTCTTTTATATACTTCCCTTTTTTGATTTATAAGAACAAATTAATATTTTGGACAGTGAATCTTACTTCTTGAACTCCTTGTTTTCAGTGCACGATGGTATTCTATGGAAATGGCTGGTATTGTCTGTCACACAGGAGCAAACATAATCAGACAAGCCAGGGAAATAGTTGAGCAGATTGGGCAAGTTGTTTGTGTTACAAACTTTCTGTCAATAATTCATGTAACATCATAGAAAAATAAGGAAGTTATTATATAGAGGATATTACACGGTGGCGCGAAGATATGAGTTTTATTTTCGAGTGGCAAAACAATATAATTTTTATGAACGAGTGCAGCAAGTGAGTAACATATTGTTTTTGCCAAGAGAAAATAAAATTCATATCTTCAAGCCGCCTTGTAATGTTCTTTTTATTACATAGACAGAATGACATCATTACATAGAGCAAAATTACCAAAATTATGTCATCGATAAACTCACATGCGAGATTATCGAAAATAAACCACTCGCGTCCCGGATGTAGTTTTTATGAATTTTATAAGTGGTATATTTTCCAGTAAAACACTTGTGTCTATATAATAAAACAATTTAAGATATAATAGTGATTTTGTAAGAAATAGTTATAGTATGTCCTAGGACTCATCTTGTGAAAAGGCCCGGTGCAGAACCTATGAGTCCCAGTTAAAAATGCATCCTTTTATTGAAAATGACCTGGCCTTTATGTAACCAGACAGTTAATCTGAAGACAGAGACTCCAAACCTCTTTATTACAGTTTACTGGAATTAAAATGTAGTCCTTCTAACAACAACAAAAACTACCAGAATAAGTATGCATCGTTAAGCAACTAGCTTGATTAATCAAAAATCACATGTTGGCTGAAACCTTTTCATAGCCCTTTTTTTCAATTATTGCTTTGAAACTTCTCTCTGTCCTCCTTCCTCTTAATTTCAAGCTGTTAAGATCAGGGCTGTCACATGGTTTCAAAAGATTTTAAGTAGGTGGCAAAAGCTTTGGGGTAGTTGGAGAAGGAAAAAACTCGTGGCAAAGGCATGAGTTTCTGGAAAAATTTTAAAACCTGGGTCTCTTAGAATGCATATCCAGCATTCTGTAGTAAAAATAAGAGTGTTTTGAACAGAACACAAACACCATAAAATTTGGGCTTTTTTATTCAGTGACAGCACATGAATACATTATATAAACACGGGTTAATTTCCAAAGGAAGGTAGGCAATGAGTTCACCTAGAATAGCTGGCAAATTTAGCCGGCCACCTGCTCTTATTGAAAACCCTGTGTCGTTAAGCTGTAAAGCAGCCATAGCAAATGAAGATTCATCTGCTGTAGGTATACATTCAACTGTTCCTTGCTACTGACTGATGTTGAATGCTCGTTTTTTATCACAGACGTCCTTTGGAATTAGACACTGATGGTATCTGGTGCGTTCTGCCAGCAAGCTTCCCCGAGAATTTCCAGGTACATCTAAGAAAAATGTGGGCGTGGAAAAAAACTGCAAAAATGCATTTAAATGCAATTTAAAGGAATTAACAACTAAGAAACCCTACAGTGCTAGTGGTCCATGGTCTGTCACTATGCATTTGCCCAGTAGTTCACTACATCTTTCATGTGATTCAATGGCATGTAGAGTTTCCTTTGTGTAGCATTTTCCTGTTATAAAGTTTTCTTTGAGCTTGTTTCTCCGCCCAAGCTTCTCTCCCCATTCTTTCTTCACTGATATTATTTTTCAATATGATGGGTGCCTGTTTCACTTCCTCTTTTTGTGAGATCTCATGGCTGGGTTGTTCTATTGTGGCAGCCATGTTGGTGTTACTCAGTCTAGGGGCTGGCTGCCATAAGGGGAAGCTCCTGGATACCCCAGGCACCCAACCTTCTACTGGCAATGCTGTTGTTAAATGTAATAATTATTTAAATGTATTCGAATTTACTTTCATTCACAGATCACGACAACCAATCCCAAGAAAAGTAAAGTGGCAATCTCATATCCTGGAGCAATGTTGAACATCATGGTTAAGGTTTGTGAAGGGAATTTTGAAGGATAATCTTTATTGTTATCATCAAGGGTCACTTAGCACTTTTTTCCATGCACCAATCTTCAATTGTTTATATAGCTTTGTATGCACCAGATTAAATAGATGATTCGAAGTGACAAGTTGGGTTTTCAGGAGAGGGGAAAAGCAGAGTATCTTGGAACAAAATTGCTTGGCATAAGAGAGAAAACCAACGACAAACTCAACCCACACATTCATCTCGTCTGGACTACAAACCTACAGCCCTTGGTAGGAGACAAGTGGCTAGCCCTACTTCCCCAAAATATGGAAAAACTTGCTTGATAATAAATGATCACTATCTCTCAAGAAACTTTGGGCCTTGTAGAATGTAATTAACTGTTAGATAATGTTGTGAAGATCTGTAACCTTTTTTCCCTTTACAGAACAGCTACACAAATGATCAGTACCATGAACTTACAGATTCAGAAAATCTGACATATGAAATTAGGAGTGAGAATTCCATATTTTTGAGAATTTTCATATTTTTGAGTAGTTTTTTTTTTATACTTTTTTTTTAATTATGATGTGCTTGGCTTCACCATTGTCCAATTTTTGCCAGCTGTTTTGACAAAACTGAATGATGAGTTTGTCAATTTGTGAAAATGTATGATGTGCATTATTCTTCCAGCTTCAAAGGAAGAAGGAAAGAAATTGAAGAAAAGGTATGAACCTTGATAGTTTTCAATATCCTTTAGAACCTGTGTATAAATTATGGTAAATCATAGTAATTCAGGGTTCGCATGATGAATTAAGAAAATTGTTCAATGATTTGGGTGAAAATTCTTTGTAGGTTGATGGCCCTTTTCGGTAAAAACACAATTTTCGATTCTTCCAATTGCTTCAAAAATCGAAGAAAGAATTATACTGCAGAAATTGAAGAAAAGTTTGAACCGCCATCATGGATTTGAGTTTTCAATATTATCCATCAGATAGCGGTGTATAAAAGTTAAAATAAATCTTTCCTAAATGACTAAAATTTATCCTTCTCATAAAATTTGCAAACCCTGGTAATTTATCCTTCTCATAAAGTTGAAGAATTTTACTGAGGTTTGGTGGAGGAAATGGTTGAACATAAGCATATTACATTTTCCAAATGTTTCTCATCCCATCTGTTGTGGAGAGTTTCAATCAGTAGAGGTTTTATAAGAGGAAGAAAAAGCAACCTCCTACATTTCACAGTAAAACTGTAGAATATCTCCAAGTATAGCTCAGTAACTCTATGGATCTGATGGAAGTTCTTTTTGTTTCATGAGTCACACCATAAAAATGATGTGTTCCAACTGCCACATGCTTTTTGCTTGTTGTTTACCTTTTACTTCTTGGCCAAGTTATGGCGAGATGATTTTTCAATCTAACTTTTGAATCTGTGGATAAACTCCTCTGGTATTACCATTTGAACGACACTTCTTTGGCAGAAGTTTGGATTCTGCATAAAGAAACTCAAAACTTTTTTTGATAATCTTAGGATTGGAAGGGGGATTATTATGAATGACGATAATGGTAAAGATGTAGTTTTTGTCCTTCAGGTATGCTGTGTTCAATGACGATGGATCTCTTGCTGAGTTAAAGGGTTTTGAAGTCAAGCGCCGTGGTGAGCTCCAGTTAGTGAAGATTTTCCAGTCATCAGTGTTTGAAGCGTTTCTTCATGGTTCAACCCTGGAAGAAGTTTATGCAGCAGTTGCTAGAGTAGCAAATTACTGGTTGGATGTACTTTATAGCAAGGTTAGAGAACTCTGCACTGTAGCGAAGGGCTTCCTTTAGGAGTTGCTGCCATTGTGCAGGTTGAAATGTCCTCAATGCACCCTAAGACCTTTTTTTCTTGGAAGGACGTCTGGCTGAGTCAACTGTTTCAGTCTCACAAAACAAAAATGTGGCTGGACTCAAGCAAGGATGCACTACATGGGTTCCAAATTGCTTATTACATTCAACTCTCATAACAGACTCCTCTGTAAGTCTGACACCTTGAATTGAACACTCATATAGAGTTGCATGGTTGTGACTCTCTTTGAAGCCGACACCTCTACATCCCCCTCTCCATGGTAGTTTCTTAGTCCCAGGGTCTGTAAAAGAGGGTTTGTTGTATTCACTCCGTAGATTAACCTTTCTTTTCCTGTTTCAGGCAACAAACATGCCAGACAGTGAACTCTTTGAATTGATCTGTGAGAACCGAAGCATGTCTAGAAAGCTGGAGGAATATGAAGGACAGAAGTCAACGTCAATTAGTACTGCAAAGAGGTTGGCTGAATTTCTTGGCGATCAAATGGTCAAAGACAAGGGCCTAAGCTGTCGGTTTATCATATCTCGCAAACCGGAAGGATCACCAGTCACTGAGAGAGCAATTCCATTGGCAATTTTCCAGACAGAAGACAGTGTTAAGAGGCATTATTTACGACGATGGCTCAAGGATGCATCCCTGAGTACTTTTGACATAAGAGATATCCTGGATTGGCAGTACTACATTGAAAGACTGAACAGTTGTATTCAGAAGATCATCACCATTCCTGCTGCACTGCAAGGGGTATGAATCAGGGTTCTAACTAGGATTTATTGTTTGGGGTAGAAGTCCCGAATGGGCATTAAGGCCACGAGCTTCGTAGTAGGATCCGGGGGCATGAAATTTCGCCTAATAAAGCACCAAAGGTTGTTAAGTTTTTGCACTGGTAACCATATCCAAAAAAATGAGTTGGCAAGTTGGCAACAAGATTCTTCATCACAACTTGAAGACCAATTTGATTTTTAAAAAGATGTTAAGATAAATTTGAAGCAAAATTGGGTTTCCAAACATCCTTGAGTGTGTCACATATTGCACTAGAAAATCTGGCTCTATAGTTGTGATCTTTGACTTTAATAAGGAGGTATATTGTATGGTCTCATGTAGTGTCTCTTTGATAGAGACTGGGTGATTTTAATACATACTATCTGCTACAATAGATTCATTTTCATTTTGTAGTTAAAAAAACCTGACAGCTAAATTTTTGGAATTAGCCACCAATTAGAAACAGTAAGGAGCCAAGAGGTTCTTGGGTGAAAGAGTTACCAGTAGGGTTGTAATACTGAGATTTAATAGAAGTGATTGGTTGTAAGGCATGGTACCACTGTCCTGTATTTTTTCACTGTAAGTTTCTGGTTTTCAAGTTAGAGTTCTTGAGCTGTTTCTACTCTTAGTATTGTATTTGGTGATCCATCATTTAATCCCTTTACAATATAATTAAGTAAGTAAATTGTCTTGGTTCAATAGGTGAGTAATCCTGTGCCACGCTGCTCCCATCCAGACTGGTTACATAAGAGATTATTGGAGCGAAATGATGTGTTCAAACAGCAGAAGATCAATGCGATGTTTGCACCACTTCCCAAGAAGAAGGTCAGTGAGCAAATCCTTTAGAGCACCCTTATGAGTTGTAGTCTGAAAATGCAAAAAAAGCAGTGAACACAAGGGAAGCCTGCGAATACAGCCTTTTCTCCTTGCTCCTCGGGGCTAAGGATGTTTTGCCAGCAGAAACGTCTGCGCCTCAGTGACAGAAATTCCATACTGATGACGTAAAATCTGTCTGGAATGTGGTCCGGAGCTTTTATTGGCTGACATAGTAGTTATATTGTTTTACCTATTTTTTACGAAGGACAGACAAAAGACCAAGTGCCACAAAGGTCAAGTGTAAACGTGATGAATCTATTACAAAACAGTCCATATTCCTAGAATATAATTTCTTCTATAGAAAAAACATCTGAGTTTTGCTGGAGCTCGTTACCAAAAGATCACAAAACTTTACCATAATCAACCAGGAGAAAAATAAAATCACACAAATTTTCATTTGGAACCCCATGACTACCAGATTTATTAGGTAAACATTGATTTACGTCATCAGTATGGAATTTCTGTTGCTGAACCGCAAACATTCCTCCTGGTGAAACGTTCCTGGCAGCCGTTCCTAGGAGAAACGGCTTTATTCGCAGGCTAACATAAGGCTGATGTCAAAGCTTATCAAGCTACAACAACAATAAAACACCTCACATATTTAACCCTGTAAGTCCTAAGAGCGACTAACATCAAATGAATTTTCTCTCAACCATATCAGTACACCATCAAGTAAATTAGCTACAAGAAGTAATCAAATAATCACTCAAGAGAAAATGCTTTGATCCTTAATCAAACTCCCTCAACCAGGATGGTCAGAAAGTTTTGAAGTAGACGGCTGAGTTGACAAAGTAAGCAGCCAGTCCAGGGATATTTTATTTTAAAAACACCATCTGAAAAGAAATGCCAAGCAGAGTAGCCCACCAATACTAACCAACTAGGTGGCAATTTTCGCCGGCAGCCAGCTACGTTTGACAACCCTGCTCAACTAATTCTTTAAGGAAATGTATGGAGATCATTCTGAAGAATTTATAGGTGGATATGAGGTGTTAAAGGGTCCAAGTTTCTAATAACTAGGGAAAGCTTAAGATGGAATCCACCAGAAAATTGAGTACGGTAATTTTAATTTTCAGTGGATAAAAGCCTTGTACCAGAATAATTGAAAGAATATTGCATTCTTATTATTTACATTTTTCAAGGGCTCAAGATGTAATTAGTCATCTGTAATAACACCTAAGAAAATTTCTCGTGGAAGTCCGAGAAAACAAATATCAAATTTCACTAGAATTGTGAAAACACAGGTAAAATTCTGAAAATTTAATGTGTGAGGTGTAATTGTGTGAAAAGTGACATTCATTTTCTCGGGCGAAGAAATTTTCTTTGGTGTTATTACAGATGATTAATTACATCTTCAGCCCTTGAAAAATGTAAAAAAGAGTGCAATATGCCTTAAATTATTCTGGTACAAGGTTTTTTTGTCCACTGAATATTAAAATTACTCAATTTCCTGTGGAATTCCGTCTTAATGTGATTTTCCAGAAGGGGCTAATAATTATTTACAATATGTTCATAATGTTGGGTATTTTACTGAATTCAAACAGCCACAGGATTCAATTAATGATGATCACAACAATCAAGGAAATGAAAACCTGCCTCCTAGACAATCACTGGATATTGAAGATATAGCTGGAAAACAACCTTCATCTGCTGGTAGGCCTGTAGCAACCAAGCGAAAGCGTGGACAAATGTCACTAGAAAAAAGTCTGTCTAAGGGTAGCTCATCACAGCAGAGTGATGGACAGCTGTCAGAGCTGTCAAAAAGCTGGAAAGAGGTGCTTGGAGAACCGCCAAAGTGGGGGCCAAACAAGGTATGGTTCATTAACTTGAATTTGTTATTTCTTGCCATGAATACTGTCATCCTTGGTCGTTTATAGTGCACTTGATCAATGTTAAACAGTAATGTTTGGCCTAGGGACATTCCATGCTGAAGAGTTGTTACAAGGATGAAACAGCTGTCCATTGCTGCTATTGCTGCAGTGATATGGCTGCAGAGCACATATGTTAAGTACTGGCCATGCAGTAGAGTTGCTTTCTGCTGAATTTTAGAGCCCTTTAGAAAATGTTATTGATAAGCTATGCTTCACAAAAGAATTTAACTATTTGATTCAAGAAAAAAACAAACAAAGGAACTCTTAATTCATTTTGATCAGCTTTCCCGCGTGAATTGTCTCAAAGTCACGTATTTTTTTCACAGGATGACAAAGAGAAATGGCTTGAATTTCAAAAACGAAAGTGGGAATTTCAATCCAAGCAACGAGCTGAGAGGAAGCGTCTGAGAAAGGAGGCAGAAACAATGGGTATGAGTATGCTGGCAGTTGGGCGTGGCCCATCGACTGGAATGTCATCTTTTATCAGACAACAAGCTAGATCGATTGTGGATACTCCATGGCAGATAATACAGGTAGGAATCAGTGTGAAGTGCTCTTACTTTTAAGATAAACTAATTATTGTATTTGTCTTGAATATAGTGCCAGTACTTACAGATACAATAGTGAGACTATCAACCATGCAGAACTGTGGTTGAAAATGAACAGTTTAACTATCAGCTGGATATCAGACATTGCATGACTAGTGCAACTGATGCCCTGAACCTATGACATCCATGGTGCCCAGTGCACCAATTTCCCTGTGACCCAAGGGCAAAGGGAAGTTGTCGCCACTGTGCTCTAGCTGTCAGAGTAGAGCCCTGTGGTGGGTGCTGCCTATGGGCAGATGTCTTGTATTACATTTGCTTCACATGCATGTACTTTCCTGTGCTACTGCGCCAAAAATTATGTCATATACAGTATTTATCTTTAACCGCCACTTTTCTTGACGCATGCCCTTTTCATTACAAGTGTCAGAAAGGTGGTGTCTTATCCTAACACCAGGGTATTAGAAGGCAACGGCTCCAGCAAGTTATCTGTAAACTCAATCACAACTTAGACAAGGATGCACTAGGAAAGCAAAATCTGAGTGCTGCTATTCAGTTTAATAAGGTCTTAGCTTCCAGGTGAAATGTATTAAGATGTGTGCTATATGGAATAGCCACTTGAGTTATTTTGGTTGTATTGTAAAAAGACGACTGAAATATCAAGCTGTTTGTTTAGCGAGGGATAAACTATTTTTATGTTTTGTTTCAGCTCGTAGAGACCGATGACCCAGGTACATTCAAGGTGTGGGCAATAGTAGGATCAGATCTCCATTCACTGAAAGTTAACATACCCAGGATTTTCTATGTAAACTGTCACACCCCAAAAGAAGGAGCTGGAACAAGTAAGAGTGGTTTGAAGGGACTATTAGTATCCAAATTTTTTACCAATATTAAATAATATGATCATGGAATGCCAGTCAAATTGGGTGAAGAGATCCAACAAAGTGACTATGTGATGTACAGACTCCCTCTTCCAGTAAGAACTTGTAACATTTTTTGCATATATTTTAGTCTCTACTGCTCGTGATTCTTTGTCTGCTTTGATTATTTAGTATTCTATGCCCATGTCCAATAATAATTATAGTAAACAAAAACAACATGAAATTGCTTTACTTTACCATAATGTTTTAAGGATAGGTGAATGATCAAGTGAATGAATTCTGAAAAATAAGTGACTATATAGACAGTAAAATTAAGGAAAATAATGATCATTGATTCAGAGCATAGTATGTTTTATTAGCCAAAGGATGATTGTTTCCTGATTGTATTTCTTTGTAGCATGGAGGAAGGTTTCCAGAACACTTCCACGCTCTCATCCAATACTAAATCTGTATGAGTATACAGTTCCTGAGAAGATATTCCGAGATCATTCAAGGTCTGGACTGGGTTTATAGTGATTTTTTTTTTCTGTAACAAAAATGATGTTACTGTAAAGATGATGAACACTTTTTGCATGACTACATTTCTCACAACCAAGTGTCAGTAGTCTAGAAGTCACTGTCTTTTTAAGATTAAAAAGTTAATGCAATTAAGTTTTAACATAGACATCCAACTAATCCAAAACAACCTGGCCCCAGTTGTTCAAAAGTTAGATAGCGCTATCCAGTGGCTAAATCACTATCCAACAGATGAATGACTTTCTTTGTACCCTGTAAGCAACTCCTTATGAGTCTTAAGTTTTGCATTTAAACAAAGAATTGTGATCTTTTGTCTTGATTTTGGTATTACGCGAGTGTAATAACTAACGTTTTCTTTTTATCTAGTGAGCTAGCTACAGATCTCTCATCTCCTGACATAGAAGGAATCTATGAATCACAGGTAGGAAAACAGCTTGCTTTACTTGAAAAATCTCCCACTCTGAAAAATCTGACTCAAAGTAATTCTTGCCTTTTAAAGTTTTGCTTTTAGTAAATAGTACTCGTTACTCTCTTCTTGCCATTTAAGACTTTATGAGTTAAAAGTGTTGGGAATTATTGGTTGAGATTTTGTAATCGATCATCAGAAATAATTGCATTGGTCCAATAGATCGATCATCCATTATTGGGAAAATCTCTTTCCAAGCATTCCATTATTTTAATTTTTTTTAACTGTGTGCAAGTCAAAGTAATACAAACTTAAGGCAAGTTTGCCCATGGCATACAGTATGCACAATCAAATGTAAACAAAACAAAACTCTTATAAACCAATAGAGAACTATGTACAGCCATTGAAAGTTTCAACATTCCTATTTGTCCAGGATATGTTTTTTCTTTTTCCATGGTATTCAATCGGACATTTTTTGCTTATTTATTATATGGCTACAATAGTACGGGTTCTCTGATTGGCTGTTTTCCTATCGGTCATTACTAGCAAGGTGTCCAAGGTATATACAATCTGTGTTTTAAGTTGATAGTGTACATCCTTATGGACATCCATATTATGGTTATTTGACAGCTGTCAGAATGGGTATCCACTGACCAGTGTCACCTGACTGTATCATGGGCTCAACTTATCCGCAGACCAGTTGTTGGTTTTAATTGATCGCAGGCTCAGGTCTATAATGAAAAGGCCATATAATAAATAACTTATTAACCTCATCCATTCAGTCATTACAGGGAAATCTCAGACTTCGCCCTTGATGTATTGACCTTGGTATCGCTTGGTCAATACATCAAGGCCTCTGTCTGAGATTTCCCTTTAATGACCTCACTCTCGGTAAATAAGTAGTGTATAATCGATGATTGGTACACCACTATGAGTTAACAAATGGATTTATATACCAATTATTTATTTCCATTGATAGGTTCCCTTATCGATGAGAGCATTAATTAAACTAGGCTGTGTTTGCAAAGTGAACAAGATGTTTGCAAGGCTCTTCGGTGGCAGGGTAGGTGCTGTATTGAATTTCTTCAGAGTAGAAGTTTTGACAACAAAGAAATTGGAAACTGTTCATTATTTTTATTATTATTTCTGTAATTGGCCTGTGTTTCTTCAAGTCAAATACACTTCTAATTTCCATTAACAGTAGAAGGCTAAGAATTTGAGTTCTTTGTGTTAGATAGTTGACAAGAAGTGAACCCTTAGGCAACCATCAAAGCTAACAGAAATTCTACAAAACTTGCTAGTTTTTTATTATAAATCTAAGAGGAGTTCCTGGTGAATTTTTTAAAAGTATAATTTATTTGTAATTTTTTTTGCACCAGTCCCTTTCCAAGAATTGAACATAGTAATTAAGTACGCAGCCAATTAAAATGGAGTATTTCATGTCAGGGCTTAAATGATTAGGGTTAAGCGCTGACAATAGTGATAGATGGAAAGCATTGACCATAGTAATCAGGGTTAAACACTGACACAAAATGGTTAACATTTTTTTAGGTTTAGATTTGTCACTAAAAGACTATAGATGCACCATTATGTATTTAACAAAGCAGTTATTGGCAGCAAATCCAAGGTGTTCAAATTTTTTTACTTGAGTCATGACTTGTTTACTCTTGATTCTCCTGTTCTAGGATTTAGATAGCTTTGAGCTTGACCAGCTTGAGTTCAAGACCCTTGCTGAGTGCCCATACTTGGAAAATGCAAATCTGAAAAGGATATACCTGTACCACAGTTCCTCGTAAGAATGTTATCCTTGGCATCATTTCTTTCCTCCAACTTTGCCTCATTATGATATCATCTAATATTGTTTGGTCATTTGGGTATTTGTTCAACATATCATTATGGTATCTTTATTTTCTAGTGATAATCGTGTTGTATTGGCCATCTTTGTCCCTGGTCTTCAGAAGGTATGGTTCAACGTTTACTCTTGTCGGTGCTAATTCCATTATTTACCCTCAGCAGTATTTATAGTGCTAATGTGAGTGGGGCTGAGCAAATGCCTGAAACAAATAATTCAAATCAAACTTAACAGGGTTAAGAATCCCAACTGGCCGGAGGCAAACCAGCTGGCTATTTACAAGCGTGGCCAATGATTTGAACTCGTCACTACCGTGAACAAATCCAGCTAGCGGTTAGTGCGGGACTTGAACTCGGGGCCTCTGAATGGCAACTCTAGTGCTCTAACCACTCGGCCACACTGCCTCCTTCTCTGATAAGAAGACCTAATGATACAATAAAAGAAAGAACTCAAGGCAGCCAATTTGTTTTGGGTGTCACGTAAATACTTGCACAATACCTAAACCAATTAGAGCCTACTTGCAATCCACCCCAGACTCCAGGTTTCATTTCATTATTTGTAATTTATTAATTTGTTATTTTTAGGCTTCAGTGTTTGTCATTGACGTTGTAAGGAATAACCAGATGCCAAATCTTTCATCTCTTTACCAAGCTGAAAGAACTGCAAGGTATGAAGAATTTACTCCTTTTCTACCCCGGGCAATAGTGGAGGCCCTAGTCCAAACTCCTTTAGTTATCTCTATCTACCTTCTCTTTCTCTTGGTGCCAGTGTGATAACTGTGCATGAAACAAGTAAACTTTCTTCATTCACTGTACATGATAGCCTAAGAAAACAGCAGACATTTTGCAGTGGTGGTGGTTTCCTGGCAAAATGACGTCTAAGAAACGAGCGCAGAAATGTCATACTGAGTGTTCTCACCAGGATTTTGCCTTGGGGAGTCCCAGGGCCCCCTCTTCTGAGAAATAGGGGCCCTGTAAGAACATTAGGGGGACAAAGTTACAAAAAACACGCGGTACGAAGAACCTGAGCCCGCACTCCAAATTGTCTGTTACATGAAGTACCTACCTGATCCAATATGGCGGAAGAGGTGTTTACGATTCGGAGGAGGAGTTTACGATGTAGTGGGACGTGCGTGGGACCAATGAAAGTAAAGGCAACAAAATTAAAGATTTTGACTCATTTGATATCACGTTTTTTATTTATTCAAACAAACAGAATGCTTTAGTTTTAGGTTGACCATTAAAACTACTTAAGTCCGTTTGACTCGTAGCTTGCCCCTGCGCCCTAACGGGCGCATCTTCTTGGTTTTAATGCGCCATTTCAGTTTTTCTTGCGGGAATCCCGCAAGGCCGCGGCCTGGTGAGAACACTGGACATGTCACAACCCAGATAGTAGGGTAGTAGTTCTGATTGACTCAGATCCTCACTTTCCTTGGCCATTAGATCTTAAAGATTCTTCTTAGACACCTATGTTGGAAGTTATTTTATGTCATCTGCCTTAGTCATACTCCAGGTCTTAGTTTAGTAGAGGGTGATCAAATATTATTGCCTCAAAATATTCCTGCTTTGATTTAATGAGGTTAAATAAATATTTATTTAACAGAGTTAACAACAAGGAGCGCGAGCGTGGTCAGCGGTCAGTCGTTTGGCTCAAGCGCGGTCAGCCTTGCTTGCATCACCTCCATGTGCTCAGTACAGTGTTTTCGTGGCGGCCATTCTCTTTGTTTAGCCTTTGGATCATTCTTTTACCCCCATCCCTCCCCCCCTTAATTCTTCCACTGTTAAATCAGTGTGACAGGTGCCTGGTTCCATTGGCGTGGTGGCTCATGGCTGGAGGGCACGGGTTTGCCAGCCATGGGGGTGTAACTCTGTCTAGAGGCTGGCCGTGCCAAAGGTGGAAGCCCCTGGACATCCCGGACACCCACCTCCACTCAGCGATGCAGTTTTTAAAAGGATGGAACGTCAGAAGACATTTAATAGTCTCAAATATTGTGAATGCAGTTTTATTTCTACTTTGTAGGTTGGAAAGGGAAGAAGATGTTGAGAGCTTTCTTCCCCCAGAGAGTCTTACATTTGATGTCAGAGTTGAGACCGATCCAAGACAGGTACATATTGTTATTTGCTCTCAGTTTCAGTTATGATATTATTAAAATTAATTTGGTCATGCATTGGTTTGTACAGGGCTTGAAATAATTTTGCGGCTGGTACCAGTGAAGTTATAAATCATCTAATTATTATCTACTTTCCTTTTCCTTTTTTTTTCATTGAGTGTACTTGAGTTATGGATGCACTTGGGAGCTGTGTGCACGACGAGAATATGAAGCATGCTTGAGCTATTGAAATTTATTTGGCAAATATTTTAGCTGTGTTATAATTTATTTTGGAGAGTGATGGTTCTTAGAATTAACATAATATTTGGGCAACTTGATGCCTAATAATTTATTGTCATTTCTTTCTAGGCTTACAGGGCAATTCAAAGGTTCCTATTGAATTACAAAGAAGAGAAACGTGGACCAACAATGATTTTAGTGCAGTCTCCCTGGGGTATTGTTGTGAATTGTACTGTGTATCATCACTTTTAGTCCAAGATGTATGAATTCAATATTATTGGTTAGGGTTAACTGATATAATACTTTTTGTAGATCAGAGTCACTTGACATCGTCAATTCCTTGTCTTAAAGACTTTCCCCTTGTGCATCTCCCATACAATGACAGGTAAGATGATGTTGCCTATCTGCACTTTTTATTTGATGCAGAAGTATATAGTTCAGAAGGGTGTGAATTTGAACCGTAGCTTTTAGTTCAATGTTATTGTAACCCAGCACACTACAGTTATGGTGTATTTACCTATGTAACACTAAAGAGGGGGCTTATAGAAAATGCATTAAATGTATTCATTCATAAAAGCCCCCATCGATCTTTAGTTTTTACAAACAACAAAACTATAAAACTGTGATACTAAAGCCTTCTAAATATGCTCTGTAACATGGTCTAGGTAAGTCACTCTTTTATCGAGAACAACACTAAGGATGTTCATAGTATCCGATATTGTAGCTTCCGTCAGCTTGAAGGTGACATTGCTAACATTGCTTGAGTCAAGATTTGCATATTATACTTTAATGTAAACCAAGCAGTTTGTAGATCAGGCATTATTCCCGAAACAAATGAAGAATTGATGATCATTGCTGTTGTGTGTACCATTGCAGCTACAAAAAGTAGCGAAAAAATTCTTAGCTTAAACGGGTTTCGAATCCTGGCGAGACTGATTTAGCTTGTGATTTATATTGCAGTACTGCGCAGCATAATGTTCTTAACTGGCAACGTCATGCGGCAAGAAGAATGATCCTTCATTATCTTGAGGTGGATCTGTTTTACCAGGTTAGTCATGCATGCTTGAAAAAGTATCATTTCAGGGTTGTCACTAAGATTTCAAGTTGCCAGGGAAATACAACAAGTAGGCGGGGAATCAAACTGCGAGGGAGTTCCCTTCTTTCTGTTTTTTCTTTCTATCTATTTTTCTATGAAAGTAGCTAGGGGCCGCGTTCATAGTAGCCAGGGAAAATCCCCAGCCCCCACCTCTTGATGGTAGTCCTGCATTTGAGTGCTTTCTTTCCCAGTAGGCTCTAAAGAAATGTGCATTTGAGTTGGTACCCATAGAATGACCAGTCATCTTGTATTATTTTGGTCACCCTCAAGACCAGTCTCCTTAGTCTCTTTAATAGTGACAGTCCCTATAATGGAATAGAATTTAGTTGCTGTCCATATTGTAGGGTTGTCTGTAATAGTAATCTGTCTGCAAGGTGAGAATTGACTGTATAAACAAACTGTGGAGTAATTATTGTTTATCAACTTCAAACTAATGTTTCATATTTACAGTGTGTATAGTGTGATTAGTGTAAAGAGTGCCATACTTACAGTATCTATAGAGTGGTTAGGTGGAGGGCTTACTATGATTCATATTTGGCTCTTATTTTAATCCAAAGAAAATTCTGTCAGGTGGAAAGGATTTTTATATATATGGTGCTCATTTTTACTCACATACTGTTTTTATATGACTATTATATTCCAGGAAATTTATTTAACTCTCTCTTTTAAATTATTTTTACAGACACAACTTGAAATGGCCCAATACTTTCATGTTCCAGTGGGAAATGTATCATCAGATCCCACGCTTTTTGCCAGTGACCTTTTCTATGCTCGTCACCTGCAGAAACATAATCACCTGCTCTGGATGTCACCAACTGACAGACCTGATCTTGGTGGGAAAGAAGATGATGATAACAGGTTTGTTACGATAAAATTCCAAAAATAAGCCCCGGGGCTTATATTTTCAAAGGCCCTTTTTGAGAGGCTTATTTTTGGAGAGGCTTATATAGGGAGGGCTTATCTACGGAGGGAAATTGGCATTTCGAAATTGATTGGACTAGCCTTATAGCTGGAAGTAAATTTACCGTTTTTGCTTTGTCTTTGAGGGCACTGTTTTCCAAGTACAAGCCCCCAGGGGGCTTATATTTGGAGAGGCCATTTAACAGAGGGTTTTTTTCCGTTACGAGTTTGGGGGCTTATCTTTGGAGGGGCTCATTTTTGGAATTTTACGGTATCTCTACAATGCTAGTGATGCCAGTAGGACCCAAATATCATGAAAGATATTTTTATTTAGTTAAATGAAAAATTTAACAAAGTTAATCGCCATGAGCTTAGCAGTCTTAGCTAGGTCAGTCAGCAGTCAAACTCATAAGTGCAGGCTCATGTGGAACGTTGTTGCTTCATTACAGTCAGGATTGTCAAGTTTCTTTAGTGGTTTTCATAGTGACTGTGTTTGCGTGGAGTGGTTTTTAGCGGTTGTCTTAATGCCACCCACCCTACCCTCTATGTCCCCCCTTCCACTGATTCATCAGTGTGACAGGTGGCTGGGTTGTGGGGATTTGCCAGCCATGGGGGCAGTATTCTATCTAGGGGCTGGCTGGCCACAGTGGAGGCCCCCTGGATACCCCAGGCAACCACTTTCAATTTAGCAAGGCAGTCAGTTGATTTATTAATAACACACTCAAAAAAAGAGCGTGTTAAAGAGTTTTGTGTTTTTTTCTCTAAATTCTAAAATAAAAGCCTAATGCCCAATCATCAAATGTCAAATTCTCCCTTTGTTTTACTGGAAAATACTCCATAAGTTAGACGGAGAAATTATCTTGCCATTTTCCAGGAGTCACTTTTGGATACATCCTTACATTACAGATGGTTTAAGCTGCAAAATTAGGAGGCTGTTTCACTACTGTAGAATATCCTTATATGATTTTTTAAAGTTTCTGCAGGACTGTATTGCCTTTTCAGAGATCTTCAGAGAATTAACTGTAGTGTGTAGTGCTCTTAAAGTCATCACCTTCAAAATTCCCATTTGACTTATATAAAGCTCTTTTAGAATAATGAAGCCCCCCCACTCAAAATCGTTGCATGTTAACTGGTAGCTTGTACTTGAAAACTGCTGCATTAGAAGTCGTAGGGCCTCACATCATATCTCTCCACAGGCTCAGTATAGCAACAGAAGATGGCGGCAACATTGAAGTGAACAACCCAGGCTGTTATCCTACTGTGTGTATGGAGCTCTCAATTGATTGCTTCGCTGTTAACACTGTCTTACAGGTATATAGCCAAACCTAAGCTTTGCCACTTTTAATACATGTTTAAAGCACTTCATTTAACCATTTATCTATATTCCTGCTAATTGTTTTTGTAAAATGAGGAACTTATTTTTCATTTCAGTCTGCCCACATCAATGACTTTGAGGGAGGTTCTGTGACTGGTGTCAGCTTTGATAGTCTGCCACAGGTGAGAATAGCATTTAGATTATAGTGTCAAGTTGCTTTAGAAAGATTTAATTTCCCATAGGATGTCATTCTAGGGAGGTCATAAATAAGGTTTTACATCTAAGACCTATTTTCTACCTGTTCACATTTTTCACAGGCTCTTTAACTTTGGCATCATTAAATGATGCCACAGTTAAAGAGCCTGTGAAAGATCTGAACAGGTGGATAATAGGTAGTATAGTATTAAATTTTACTATATCCAGTGCAAAGAATGCCCTGGCAACTACTACAATTGTGAGACCGCCATATCCCTTTGCACCCTGTTCAAAGAACACCAATCCCTTGAAACTTCTGCCATTTTCGATCACCCTGGCCATTTACAATCCTCTATTGGGGATATGTAACAAAATTTGTGTTCTCTGATGAAGTTTGAGCAATTCAAATGAAATGTTTGTTTTGTTTTAAACTTGTTTTTTTGCTGTGAGGTTTGGAAGAGGATCTTTTTTAGACGTTTGTCTTTGCCTGGGCAGAGGAAAAACCTTTTCAGTAACTCATATATTTTGCAGGCATCATTAGAAGAGTTGGTTCAAGGAGGGCCAAGTGCAGCTTCCAGCCTGACAACATATGATGAAGCGGCTCTATGCTCCAGTGCTTTCAGGTAAATGTTTGTCATTTTATTGAATGCCTGTTTTGCAATTCTCCACTTTAAAATTGGTTGAGTTGTTAGCTTTTGCAAAGTACGCTCCATTCAGCTATTAGAGACCTTACAATCTGACAATGGTGATGTTCATGAAAATGTCGCTGAAAAATAGACATCACATCCTTTGAAACTATTTTGCAATCATCCCAAGTCATCCTGTTACTTAAGAGAAGGGAATTTAGGGTTGAAGTAAAGACCTGTGCCCATGCCTGAGTTCAGACAGAGATGGTAGAATTTATTGCCTTGCGCTCCTGTTCTAAAGTAAACTTAAAATTTGGCCATTTCATGTGGTAGTTTTGCATGGACAGCAAAGAAATTGAGAAAAAAGCGTGATGCACATGCAAAGTTGTTGTTTTGCTGATGCCATTAAACCTATTGCTTTTTTTGAGGTTCTGGTTGCCCATTGCCCTTCACTGTTGTAGTTTTGTAAGGTCTCTATTGGCCAACTTGTTTGCCCTGTCTGCAGTAACAGTCCTAGAAGTAAAAACCCTTGAATGCAGAGGTCCACTCAACGCGTAAATAAAACCGACTGGTTCTTTCTTGCTGGATCTCTAATGTAGAGGTGCTAATGCCAGACGTCACTTGAAGTGGGAAATAAAACAAACCTGAAAACAAGGCTGGCAATACGGCAAAGGGCTGATTTATTTCAGGCCAATATTGCGGCTAAGAAAATTAGCCTTTCTCAGGGCCAGAGCTACGCCGAAAAAGTGTAGCTCTGGCCCTGAGGAAAGCTAATTCAGGTATCTGTGAAAATTTGAGTCAAATATGTTGAATGGTTTTGGAGAAATTATCTTTGAAAAATTATATAGTTTTAGTGCTGTGTAAAATTGTTTCTATGTTTCATCTTTATCTTTTGCAACAGAATCCTCAAGGGTATGGTTTATAGCTGGCTGCATGAAGTATCAGCTTATGGGAACCTGAACGCTGATGCACAATTAATGCATTTTTACAGGTAATAATGTTAATAGCATCTCAGAACTGTAGGTTTCCTTGTGCATAGCAGCTTAATCAGTTGTCTCTTAGAGTTATGCATTAGAGGGTATGTTAAAAACTCCATAGAATATAATTACATTAGGCATTCAACAGGTGTTTTTATGTTGTAATCTATGCCAATGTTGAAGGAACTGGCGGTTCCTTAGAAAACATCTGTTGACTTCTGTTACTATCCACCCCAAATCAAGTAATGGTTAGCCACTATTGGACTGCAGATCAAAGCTACTGATTTCCTTTTACTTTGCCTTTTTTTCTTTTTTTGTTGCCCATACATTTATCTCTTCCTTCTGGATTCTTTTTTTAAATCTCTGAGGTATTTATTGTGTTTTAAGGAAAAATACATATGCTAAAAACTTACAGTTAAAAGCAATTAAAAAGCTGAACGAGTAGAAAAGCTTTAAATTCCGTATAAAATATTAATGTTACCATTAAAAACCCTTTTTACGTTAAATTGCTTCTTTGTATTGATAAAACTATTTTAAAAGCATGGGGTATTAACCCAATTGAGATTGCTGCTTGGATCTCTGAGGCACAGAACTTTCTTTTGTGTTGGGGAGGGAAGAATACAAAGGGTGGCCAGGCATGCTGGAGATCTTCTTGAATAGTGCATGATCTGCCTCTTCTAAGAAATCATATAGTGGTATGTTAATTTGATAATATATGTATTGGCATTTAAAGCAGCGCTGTAGAAAATTCTGGACCCTTGTTAATTCAGGTGTTATGGACACATATATAGGAAAATCGTAAGTTGATAATTTGTTGAATGCCATCTAGGCCATGTCAATTATTTTGATATTTGTTTGAGCAAACAAGATTGTCTGTTTTGGCTCAGGTGGCTGTCTTCTCCTACTTCACTGTTATACGATCCAGCTCTTTGTAGAATGGTGCAGAGAATGATGAAAAAACTGTTCATGCAGGTAGACTTTGAATTAATTGAATTAATCAAGGGCTATTTTATTTTTTACTTAACCAAGAACACAATATTATTTTTTGGTAACTTTAAGAATTTAAATCTGCCAGCTCTTACCCCAGGAATTTCACATTCTTTCTTCTAGAATTTTTGTGTTGGATGGCAAGGGCATTTCTAACCAAAGTATTTTTTTTCACTATCCAGCTTGTAGCAGAATTCAAACGTCTTGGTTCTACCATTGTGTTTGCAAACCTCAGCAAAATCATTATTTGCACCAAGAAAAGAAGGTAATAATTTATTTATCTTATAATATTTATTTCCCATTTTTAACTGAAGAAGTGACAATCTATTCCCAAGTTAAGAATTCTAAAGTAACACATTTTAACCAATTTCCAGTGTTTAATTTGGTAGGTGCCCATGACAAGGAAATACTGTCATGAATTTTTATAATCCCACTGGTCGGAGGCAAACCTTCTTACTACCAAGAACAGCTGTTGTGGAGGGGATTGAACTCAGGGCAACTGGATTGCAATTCCAGTGCTCGAAACACTCTGCATGCTGTCTCCCCAGTAGTACATAAAGCACTGTTGTGGGCAGTGTTCCATTTATCAGGCAGTAATATTAACCGGTAAAATTTACCAAGACACAGATTTGCTCTTTGCCCCACACTTGCAAAATGATTCTCATTCTTATAGAGAGAATTTTTCTTAATTTCAGTGTCTCAGATGCCAAGGCATATGTGGATTTCATTCTCAACAGTATACGCAGGAAGGACTTGTTCCATAGCATTGAGCTTAAACCTGAGTCATGCTGGGAGTATCTTATGTGGATGGACCAGGTAATTGCCATAATAATTATTGCAAAAGATCAAAAATTTAAGAAAATTCAGAGTCGTGCTATCTTTTGTAAAAGACAGTCAAGGCTCTCTCATCAACCTCTCTGTTTTCTATCTACCAAAAAACAGGTCTTAAAATTAGAAATAATATTATTTTGCTTTACCATGCAGGCAAATCATGGTGGTGTGCGAGGCAAACTTCCCAAGGAGGCTGAAGATGAGGAGGTGATGGAAGGAACAGCAGATGACAATGATGAAATAATGGCTACACCTGATGATGAGGTGAAGGAAGAAAAAATACACAGCATTGTATATGTCTACCATACTTACTTAGAATAAATGCAGCAGATGGAAGCAAAATTACCAAAAAAACACCACAACCAATCAGACTACTGCGGCATTTTGAAAGGATGAGGTATAAGAGAAAACTCAATCCAACTTTGTAATCTACACCATCCAGAAAATTACAATTCTCTCTCGGCAAAAAATTAAAGACACTGGAATTTAAAAGATCTTTTTGTTGACAACAAATTTTTTGTCAGTTTAAGACAACAAATTTTTGTCAAAATGCTAAAAATCAAGAATAAAGGCTGTGGTTTTTAAATTAGCAAAGGTGCCCTTGACTAAACTATTAAATAAGATAAGGTAAGATAAATACTTAAGTAATGGTCCAAAGAAGGAAAGAGCCAAACATAGTGAACACGTGGGAATGCAAAAAGGTGCCAACTTTACTATTGTCTCTACTACATTTCTGATTGGTTTAAACATAACCAAGATGAGATCAGATAAATTAATCCCTTATTTTCAAAACTGAAACAAAAACATGTCTGGTTAAGAAGAAATCCCATATGAGGGAGATGTAAAATTGTAAACTTTTCTTTGCAATTCTTTTCAACTCTTATGATTGGTCAAAATCTTTTAACACAAGAAAACACCCTTTAAAAATGAAGTTTAATTACATTTTTTTTTAAATTTTTTGTTGGTTTGTGGATTTGAAAACTAAAGGGATCACTACGGTGGAACAAAAGAAATTGAACCTTCTTACCCAGATCATTATTACAAGTCCCCCTTTTGGGGGCTTTTTCAGGGATAATGACCCAATAATTCAAATGAAACATAACATATAGTCTAGAATCCCAACTGGTAGGAGGCGAAACCACTTGGCAATTTACAAGGGTGGCCATAAGAGAATAACTCTGTATCAGCTGGGAATTGGAGGAATAAAAAAAAAAATAAAAAAATAAGGGTGGCTTTGGGACTATCCAGTAGTGGTCATCTTGGGGCTTCCCGCGCTCTAACTGCTCGGCCAAACTGCCTCCTATGTTTATTTTTTCCCTATCAGCCTAATGTAGAAATGAACTGGAATATGAAGAAGTACCTTCCCACTGCTGCTTCTTGTCAGAGCTATTTCCAGGTACACCTTACATTTTAAAAGCTCTCTGTGGTATACACCCCCTCCCCCATTGCTAAACTTAAAACACACCCGTTGCTTTGACGTTTCTTTCCATTAAAAGGTCATGCTACATTTTTATGAAATTTCCTTACTCCTTGGGATGTTTTGTCTGTCAAAGCTTTTACAACTTTTTGGGGTTATAATTCATTCACTTTTTTTTGGGGGAGGGGAGGGTCAAAGTTTGGACCTTCCTCTCAGTAATTAACAGTAGTACAGAAAGTCTGTATCGTAAAATGAACAACATCTTTGTCATGTATTCATGTTGTAGCATTTTCACTAAGCAGCTGATTTTTAGGTCTATTAATTTTGCCATTAATGAGTCCAACAATCCAGTCAGAAAAAATACAGAAAAATGACATTGTTATTCATATTTTGGTGTCAATTATTAGTTTTCCTCATCCAGTTTGCACTGGTCTATTCTCTTTACCACTGTTTCCTAGCCTGCAGAGCAGGCAGTTTTTGTGCGACATTTTTCATTTTTCATTCAACAAGTAAGAAATCTGTATAGGCGTGCTAAAAGCTGAGCTGTAGTCAAATAAGAAGAGGCGAGGGGAGGGGTTGAGGAGTAGAAGGCAGAGAGATGAACTGCCTGTATTCAAGGCCATGAGTTTTTTCATACACCATTTGCCTGTGTTTGTTCCTTTTTTTCCTTTGTCCTGCAAACCAGAACAGATATTTTATCTTTCGTGTATTTCTTGCAGATTATTATTGCAAGTCACATTCATGCTATATATAACCATTCTTTGGAGGAGAGGAGACGTGTCGAGCCTGGCAATACTCCAGTGAAAAAAAGAACAAGCTCACAGTCCCAGGTACAGCTGCTTTCCAAGCAGTCATTTTGTTTGTTAATAATCTGAACTGCCTGTATTCAGTTAACATGTTTTTTTTTATGTAGAGGGAGCAGTTTCTGTGGACTGTTGCTAGCTATTTGAATGGAAATGAACTACTCTCGAATAAGAACCATTGTTGAGAGATTCTTATAGTCTGTGTTTTAGACATACTTATCTTTGTACTCAAACTCATCAAAAGTGCTTAAAGAAAATACAAAGAAAACTGATATTTTATAAGTGTTTGAAAATCAGATAAAGAACCTTTATTATTGCATCCTTGATTTCTAGCTCCTTTTAAAATTAATCATTTGTTTAAGGAGAATTCTCAAGCATTTGACACTGTTAATCCGTGCATATTCTCCTTCAGTAGCATGTTTGAATGTAAAGCATTGTTTGGGTGAGGCCTTTAACTGCTGTAATTAAGAATAAAAGATACAAGTTAAAGTTTTACCTTTGACACTGAATGTTTTCAACACAATATCAGGCACCTTGAAGTTTGTCAAAAAGAGTATACTCTGCGTCATTTTTTCAAATCTTTTTCATATTTGATTTTGTGATAAATCGTATTTTTGTCTTAAGTTATATGTTTCATTAAGCGCATCCCATAGTAATTAGCACTAGCATGGAACTTACAAAGTTGGTAAAGGTGTTTTAAAAGTTTTAATCCGCATCTTCTCTACCTAACAGAGGGTTGCAGAAACATCAGCCACACCTAGTCTTGTCACCTTTGCACAAGAGAGAATCTCTGGAGAGCTCACTCAGACTCTTTTCTCGTAAGTGCTTTCTGTTCACAATGAGTGTGTCATTCGTATGAAAAACCAGAGGAAATTTTCCTCTTAAATTGAAAAGTGCCGTAGGTTATTTTTTCCTAAAAATGTGAGTACGAACAACTACAGTAAAAACCCGCGTTTAAGAACCTAGAACTTAAGAACCTGTTAGGCTAAAATTTCCACTTTAAACCCCCTTTTTTATAAGAACCTATTTAGGCTAAATTTTTTTAATAGGTTCTTAATTACAAAAATGAAGGCACAGATGAAAAACAGAAAAAAACATTTTAAGTCCAGGTGTTAGTAAGATTCAAAATGTAACACTACAGCATTTTATGGATACTGCAGCATGAAAGACATGCATGCTAAAACTTTGGAAAGATAAATTTACTGTAACGTTATCATGTGAACTGTATTCTGGATAATCATTTAACACAGCAATATATTCCATACCACGATAATTTTGCGGCCAACAAATATGTGGCTTTTGAACTCCATCTTAGAAGTTTTGCTGCAATTTTTGCATCATCTGTTCAATATGGCAAAATTCTTCAAAATTTGGTCAACAGTAGCTGCTTATGATGAATTATGCATGTCATTTTAGCCAATCAGAAATGGCAAAATATTTTGAATAATAATAAGTAATATATATACAAGGAGAGTCACTCAGAAACTTCATCTGTAGTGAGTGATGCATTATAACATGCAAAACTGTTGTCCTACAACTGATAAATTTCTTTTCTCTCTTTATCATTAACTTGTAGTGTAACTCAGAAAATACAGCACACTTTGTCTGGCGACAGATCTTCAAATACAGATCCAAGTGCGGAATTCCCACTCCTACCAGGTTCCCATCTGCCACTTAACAATCCTGCCTTGGAATTTGTCAAGTTCATTTGTAAGGTACAAATTTATTAGTTGTAACTGTTAAGTTCAGTCATTAAAGAAGTTTCAGTTAATGTCAAAGGTGACTTAATTTTTTTTAAAGGTGCATTTGGAATAAAGCCCAAGGTGATATCTGATAAACTGCTAAATTCCCCCGCCCATTTTTCATATGTATTCCTTGGGAATAAAAGGGAGAATTAATTATTATATCAAGAGTCACTCAGAGCTTAATATTCCATGCACCCCTTCAATAAATCAGTTTAATAATTATTATTTAATTAATCAAAGGTTGCTTTGGTGTATTTTTATGGGTGGCTAAAATACCTAGGTCAAAATCAACTGTGACTTGCTTGCAAACACCCCGTTTTCCTTCCCACCAGCCATGTGTGTTGGTTTTTTGCACTGTCTTTATTACAAAAGCTGTGGTGTTGGGATTAGAAGCCAACTCTTCCAAAAAAGGTTTTTAAAACCAATGGTCATTAGATTGTCCAGTGTTAAGTGAAATGAGGTTAATGTAATAAATGGTATCACAAATGTTACGAAAAAAATGCAGTTAATTATTTGATATAAGGTGATTTATTTATTTTATCAATCCTATGAACAGGTGTTGTCTTTAGATTCCAACACTCAGAACCAAGTCACCAAGCTAAGGTAAAAATCAATAATGTTTTGCATGAATTAAAATCATAGGAAAATCCACATGCAGACAAAAACACTGAGGGTGGCAATAACAACAGCAACAATGACAACAACAAATGTATTTATTTGAAGAAATATAAGGTTTACAATACTTTATGTCCCGCAAATAACTATAATGCTAATCTAGGCAGGACAAGACTTTAAATAAGACGTTATTAAATTACATAAAAAGAAAAGAAAAGAAATACAAAAACATACAGAACGAAACACCTTACATATAAATTCAAGTACAGGGGATTTTGTTATTTGAAAAAGACTAAAATTACAACTGGAGGTATATACAACATATCAGGTTAACTTCACTCTATTAAATAATTAACATTCAAATAATTATCTTCATTACCTAGAACATTAAGGAGAAGTGATTTAATTTTTTTTACGAAAATTAGATATGCAATAACAATTTTGGCCTCTTTTAAAAGTGCTAATTACCTTTTAAGTCATTTATTTCTTAGTATGGGTCTTCACACATCTCTTTATAATTAGGCGAGATTTGCTGCGACTGCTAGGTGTTGGAGAATTTTCAGCAGAAGCCACTTTCAGAGATCCTTGCTCCTCACTAATTCTACCAGAGGTAAGCCATCATTGTCAAACTGTCGTTTTTCAATTTTTAAGAACAATAATGATTTAAAATGAAGTTTTTTTTTCTTTTTAGTTTTTGCCCTTTGTGAGTATTATCCACAGACTAGTAAGTTAAGGCCACTTACGTTGCCTAAATTACCGCAGGATGAATTCCTCGGTGTTTGACATCTGAATGCTCATGCACACTCAATTTTCGATTTCTGGGACACCTGAAAAACCCTTGAAAAGAAGAAATTCAGCTAAGATTGCTTGATTGAAAACTTGAATTTTTTAAAATAACTTGGTATTACTATTAAACTAGCTCAAAGATTGGGAAGAAATTCTAAAATTTAAAATTTTTGGAAAAACTTTTTTCTTTAAACATGCTGTGAACTCCCTGTGAAAACTCAGTTGTTATTGCTTGAATTTGATAACCTACAACAGTATTGCATGTACCCATCAAAGTTTCTGCTTCTCTGAAGTTAATAATATTATAGCCTTGTGAAAACGGATGGGCAAACTGTAGTTAGTTTAGAAGAATAAATCACATTGCGTATATTTTAAATTCGTGGACGCACTAGAGGTACAGACAAAAACTATGCACTGAACAGAATTTATGCACTTCAATGCAGCCATCTGAAAAAACAAAAAGAATCACAATAATTTTATAATAATTATCATTTGTTGGAAATTTCCCCCAACAGGTTATTTGCCTCTCTTGTAACTCTTGCCGTGACCTGGACTTGTGCAGAGATCCTTTTATAACACCAGCAGAAGGAAACAAACCGTATGTACATGGAAATATGATATGCATTTAATTTATGGCTGTCTATTGTATTAATTTGGTTATCTGCACCACTCTGCACCTCCCCTTCTCCAACCAACGTCATTATCTTCTTACCCCTGAAAAACTCAATAAGATTGTATTCACCTGTGAAGACAAAATTCTCTCAACCAATTCTTTAAGGAAATGTATGGCGATCAGTGGAGAATTTGTATTTGGATTTTTGGAGCTTAAAGGGTTAAGAGACAGTTGATTGTAGTTGTAAATTGAAGCTTCTCCAATTAATTTGCCATGTAGTGATGGGAATAAATCATACTTTGCATAACAATGTCTCTTTTTTCTACAGGGCTTGTTGTAGATGCACAAATTTAGAGTGTGGCAGTGAATACGACATGGACTTCATAGAGATTCAGTTGATTGACATGGTGCAAAAGCTGTCAATGGCATTTGTTCTCCAGGATCTAAAATGTACCAAATGTCGTGGGGTATGTTGATATTTGTGTACCATCTTTAGTGGCTTGTCGTTTATTACCTATAAAAAAGCTTGCTTTTAGCTGGGTATATTGACAATTGTGGACCTTAAATGTTTGTGTTGACATGATACGTTTTTGGTATAATTTATCTTTCTCTGTTGGTAAACCTCAAATCAAGAAAGCTTAAAGAGTGGGCTCTGGCCAAGCTTACATGATGTGAGCTGTAAGGGGTCATGATCTAGTACAGTATATGATTGTTAACTGCACATTAAAGAAAGGATTCTTTACATACAATGCACTTCTTTAATGTTGGAAAAAGTTTTGTTGAAAAAGTGTGGGTGCCCAGTTTGTCCAGGGGGTTCCACTTTTGGCAAAGCCATCCCCTAGACAGAGTTCTGCCCTCGCTGGCTGGCAAACCAGTGCCCTCCAGCCATGAGCCCCCACGCCAATGGAACCAGACGCCTGTCACACTGATTTATCGGTGGAAGAATAAAGGTGGGAGGGGTGGGGGTAAAAGGATGATCCAAGGGCTAAATAAAGGGAGTGACCGCCAGGAAAACATTGCACTGAGCACACAGAGGTGATGCAAGCAAGGCTGACCGCACTTGAGCCAAATGACCGACCACTGACCACGCCTGTGCTCCTAGTTGTTAACTGTATTAAATAAATAATTATTTTACTTCATTTATGCGTGATAGATATCAGTGGTAATGACCCATTTTTTATATGATTATTTATACAGGTAAAGGCAACTAACATGGCAAGATACTGTAGTTGTGCTGGTAAATTTACATACACAGTGTCTCTTGATGACTTTTCTGAAAAGCTGAAGACCTTCAGAAATGTGGCCAGGTATTTGCACCCTAATTTAAAACGAGTTGTGATCTCATCTTAGGCCAAATGTAATCAAAGCAAAATAATGTGGAGACTATTATAAAAAGTCTCAACTTGACTCATTTATTTCCATAAACAGACTGCTTACTGATCATTTTAAAGAAATTCAAGTGATGGCCTCATGGATCATTTTGTCTTCAACCTTCTGGTCCAGGTGGAAACAAACGTGGTGGTTTTTTTTGGGGGAGGGCTGGGCAGGGGGGGGGTAAGCAAAGAAGGTACATTATGGCAAATCATGTCCATGGCAAATCAGTGGGCTAAAGATTTTGTGTTGGGCTAGTGAAATATGCCTGATGGGCTTTCTCGGGAGTTCAAATTACAGAAGAACTTTTTAAACCTTGATCCAAAAAGTTTTTGCTCCAGTTAAAATGACTTTTAGGCAATCTGTTTTTAACTTTCCTTATGGAAATGGGCAAGAAAGTGTGTCCAATAGCCAATAGCACAGGGCTTTCTGTTGGGCTAGTGAAATTCAAATTCAAATTACTGAAGAACTGTATTTAAACGTGGTGATCCAAAAAATGTTTTTGGGTCCAGTTGAAATGACTTTTAGGCAATTACATGCTAGCTACAGCTTGCCTGAATGGTTAGCTGTAAAACTGACTTTCTTAGCACGCTGGGGAAATGTGCAAAATGGTGCATAAAAACTGCTCTATTGTTGTTTTGTTGCCTTCCTTGTGTACTTCTGGAATGAACTTATTTCTTTTTTTTGTTTCAGTCATTACAACCTGTCACTACTAGAAGAAACTGTCAACTGGATAATGCAGAAGAATCCTTACATGTCATAACAACAGGAATTATCATAGGAATTTTACCTAAAAGACTGATTGCTCCACCAACTGACTTCTGTTAGAAAGTTAAATTTTCCCCTCGCATTGCTGTGATTGATTTCTTGTGAGGAAAAAAAAAAAAAGGATTTTGGCATGACACTATGGGCCACTCAGGGCTATTTCTTCACCAACCCCACCCCTAACTCGTCACGGGTTATCCAAACAGTATTTCTCTTTAGCTGAGTCTTTTCCCTTTAAGGACACAAAATTCTTGTCTTATTAATCATGTTATCCCTAGGGCTAACATTTCAGTACAAACACAGTTGTATAAACTTGAATGTGCGTCACTTCAATGATAGCCCCCTAATTAGATGTTCTTAGGGCTTTGTTACACATTCCTCCCCCATGCACGACAAAGCCCTAAGAACATCTGCATAGGAGTGTACTTTAATGGCTGCCTGCTTTTAGATGGTAAACACATGTAGAATTTAGTGATACATGTATTTACCAGTTTTTCAAGGAAAAAAATATTGTTGTCTCAGATTGCTTAAATATACTCCCATCTAGGCTTTTGAAAGCTGGAAAAAATATCCCTTCTTTCAACATGGATAGAACTCTAATAATAATATTACAAAACTGTTGTAAATAAAAAAAGAAAATTGACGTTGTGAAACAGGGAAGAAGTTCAATAAATTCCTTTTTTTCTGAGACATTTTCTGATCATCACTGCTGTTAATGAAATGCCATGTCTAACTTGTTAAGATCATTTAAGAGTGAACAAATCTGAGTTAGCAGGGCAAAGGCTGGATTTTTAGAGAATGCCCTTGGACATGGTGTGGCTCATTTCCTTGGCGTTTTCTCATTACAAACCTCAGTCAGTATCACTCCCAAGTTAATAGTTGAGGCAGGGAGGGAATTTTGACTTGCCAGTGCTCATGACTTTTCCCTTTCCCTCTCCTACCTAGTAGCCTGAATTTCATCCGATTACTTTGAGTCATTAGTACTCCCTCAGTAACGACGTTGCTGAGAGGAGAAAACGACTCGAAGCAATTGGCTGAAATTCAGGCTACTAGCCATTCAGGCTAACTTGATGGTCTGATTTGTACATGACAATTCAAATTACTTCAGGGTTTGTATTTATACTGGAAATAGTTGGAAACAACTCTTAATGAGTGAAAAATAATATTTATTTCTAAAGCAATTATGTTCATTTCAAAATTAAAGTCAGCTGTAATAAATTACGTTTTGATAGCAGAATATATTATTCTAGATACAAATTAATCAATCAATGCTATCGCTAGCTGTGCAGAAGAAGCCATATACCTGAATATTTCTTCTTTATTTAATCATGATCATTGGTGAAGCCTCATAGACAAAGTGTAAATAGAATGCTGCTGTTAATATTCTAAGCCTATACATGCATACACTGTATTTTCCACAATGGCTGTGGCTACAACTGTACTTAGCAAGTTAACCAGAAGTGACCTGTTAAAAAATTCAAATTAAACTTGACCTGGTCAAAAAAAAAATACCTGTTTTAAGAAATAAAACCTGATCTCTGAAACAAATACAACAAAGCAATTTTCACAAATGTAGTGCTTACACACTGTAAGTGCATGGTAAAACCTAGGTTATGTTAATTCTCACTTACAGTTGGAGACATAATGTGCCCAATAAAGTACAAGTAGCTACATTGAGGATAATGTTCTCTTTCCCTTGTCTTCACTTTTCCACTCAGACTGAATGTAAACAAACTCACTGTAATCTATTTCACCATCTTTATCAACGTCCAACACATCAATCATTCTGTCTACCTCATACTGAGTCAGCCCAACATCTGATTTGCGTAATCCTTCTGCAAATTCTTTCACACTCACTTGCATGCTTCCATCACGATCTAACTTGCGGAACAAATCGACGACAAGAACATGCTCTTTTGCTATGTAGTTACGCAGAAGAGTACCAGGATCAGGTTCCTCCTTCTTAGCTTTTGTTTCAGTTGTCTCCTCTGTTATTATACTAATCTGCCTCAGATTTTGCAGTTCTTCTGCAATTAAGTGAAATTCATCTTTAACAATGACACCCGAGAGGTTGATTTTGTTTAGTCTACTATCTCCATTTTTGGTGATTGAGTTTAAAATGGCACAAGCACCATTATTTTGAAGATGGTTCTTTGCTAGCTTAAGAACTTCAAGAGAAGAATTGTTTTCCAGACTTCTTGCAATACTAAACGCACCTGCATCTGAAATTCTATTGCTACTTAAATCCAACTCTTGTAGGGTTCCATTCTCTATTAAAGCTCCAGCAAGTGCTTTGGCTCCATCTGTTGCTAAACCATTCCATGCCAAATTTAAAGACTTGAGCTTTACATTTCCTCTAAGTCCTTTAGCCAGCATTTTTCCTCCTTGAGCTTGAATGTGATTCCAGCTTAAATCAAGCTCTGATAGACTGATGTTCTCGTCAAGTAATTTTGCAAAGTATTCGCAGCCTTTGTTTGAGAATTTGTTGCAGCTCAAATCTAACTGAGTCAGAGTATTATTTACAAGCAGAGATCCACAAAGTATATCAGCATCTTTGTCGTCCAGAGAATTCCCAGCAAGTCCAAGCTTCATCAGCGTGTTGTTTTCCTTGAGTGTTTCTGCGATCTCTACACTAGAACTTCTTCCAAGCTGGTTTTCAGATATGTCTAACTCAACAATGAAGTAGTTTTCTCTCAAGAGCTTTGCTATGATTTCTCCTCCCTCATCACCAATACCATTGTCCCTTACATCAAGGCTTGTCACTTTAGTGTTGTATAAAAGAGCTAAAGCCATAGCCCTGATTCCGAGTGGGCCAAGCCCATGATGAGACATGGCAACTGTAGGCTCAGTCATGTGACGCACAAAGTAGGATGCAGGAACAATTCCAAGTTTCTGGCATGCTCGCCTGTAAAGTGCTCGACCAGTGGGGTCATACTGAGGCTTCAACTGTAAAAAGTCCTGCAAAAAATTGGAGATTTACGTTCCACGAAAAACACTCCAGCCTGATATGAAAATCTGTTCAAACTGCCGCACAGAGTGCAACAGAAACCTATGTGATGAGATGACCCACTTTCATGATAGGTGCAGTCTCCATGAGGGTACTTGACCGATATTTTGGGTATAGGTGGGCCGCTGAGGGTTTGAACCCCGACCGTGTTAAGGAGAACAACCTCAATTTTCTTACCCCTGTTTAGTACAAAGGACAAAATGCATGACATCTTCTTGGCAATTGCTACAGGGCAAAGTAATTCACATTATACACATAGTCATGGCTTTTGTACTTATAGTATACACATATTTCATCAAGCGAGTCAAATCAATCATGCAGGCAATATTTACATTGGGACATACTAGCATGAAATTATATACCCCATTTAGGACAGACTTGTGCCAAATGATATAAATTTACCCTGTTTAGGACAGAGGATAAAAACCATACCCTGTCCAGTGGCACTTTGCATTCCCCATATACGCCATGTAAGGGAGTACACCCCCACGGTGCAGTAGACATAAACTAAATCTGAAGACAAACGTCTAGTGCTGCATGGAATAAAGCCCCAAGATACATGTACTCAGGGGTGTAGCCAGCTTTTCAACTAGTTGTAGGCCTGCACTGACCTCACCAACACTTTGCCCTCTTAGGCTTTCTAGCTCACCCCAACAACGCATAATTTATTACAAGCAGTAGAGTGATCAAACCAAAAATTTGTAGGCCTGGGCCTACAGGTTTATATGCTGGCTATGCCCCTGCATGTACTTTTGATAAACTAGTGTATTTCATTACAGTGAAATCCCAGTTTTTAAAAACAAAGTGGGAAAAGGAAATTGGTTCAAATTATAGGGAGGTTTGAAAAATCAGGGTAAAATTACGGTGTTTGACTGTTGAAGGGAAGTTAGTTTGGCTCAAATTATCTGGAATTTCAAAAAACCAAGGGTTAACTGCCGTATCTTAGAAGATGTTACATGATGGCAAATTAATGCTTCTTTTCAATCTACACTATCTTAAAAATTTAAAATCTTAAGCTTTGAGAATGGCGATGCTACCTGATCATCACATTCCAAGTCCGTTTCCCATCCATCAGATTCATCATCACTGTCTTCACATTTAATTTCAGTGGCCGACAGAGAACTGACTGAGAGTGTTGCAGAACTTAAGGTCTTTAAAGTCTTGTCAACTTTCTTCACTGTAGCTCTTGCATTCATTATACACTGTTATAAAGCCCTGTCCTGAAAGAAGGTGATCTAATGTTAACATACATGTAATATTGTAATAAATATTGCTTTGATGTGATGGGAGTGCAGTTGGAGCTTGGACAAATTTATTATGGGATCCATGTTTATCTTGTAGTAAAATTTGTTGGCTTAGTGAAATAAAGGCTATGACATCTGCCAAAGCTTGGCTGACATATTTGTTCTCTGCAAAAAAATGTCCATCAAACCATGCAATAAATTTTATCCAAATGATAAATTTACAAAAAATAATATATCTTAATGTCCTTAATACTATCGAAAAAACTGGCCTATAATTCAAAAACATTAATTATTATTTTATATTTCTGACCCAAATTTGCAAAGAGTTAATTATTAAATTCTTCCCAAAGCCGGGATTTTCTTTAATTTCAAATAACCTGATTTTAAGGAAGGGAAGTTTAATGCAAGCAAAATATTGTTACATGTACTTGGGCACGTGCTGCAAATTTGAGGGCGACAAGATAATTCTGCGTGCCAGGTGTTATGCCGTCCGTCGAACGCTAACTAGACAAGGGCTAAATTAAAAGAGATACACTAAAATTCTTATTTAACAAAAGTATTCAAGCTTGTATTACAAATGCATTTCGATGTTCCTTAGTAACCAAATTACTACATGTAGCTAGACTCCTTCGCATTTATAACATCCGATCGATTCCTACACATAAACGAAATAACTTAGATAATTTCAGTATTTTCTCTTTCCACTTCCGCGTGACTGCTGAGAATGTTTATCTCAACGTGAGGCGTTTTCTTTGTGCAACGATTTTTGCTCGCGATCGAAGGCCTTTGTGTCACTGAAACACAAAAATGTATTAATCCCTCGGTGTCGCGGGAGGATAGAATTGATCCCATAAATTGAAAGGCAAGGATTTAACTACCTTAGCGTTAACGATCAAAGGCTGAATACATCATGTACTGGTCCTAAAAATTAATCCATGGCTTGAAAAAAGGATGTTCATGTACACTAAACATCTAAACTATTTGTTGTGTGTTCCTGCCATGATTAATTGATTGAAACGGTAATAAAGAAATGAACAGTGAACTTGGTCTTGGTTGCCTTGTTCATTGTCTGTAGCATTAAAGCAAGCCTTGCTTACCTTGAGTTTCTCCAAAGTTAAATTATTGCTCATAAATCACAAAACCACCACTCTGATATTCTGCCTTTTTGGTACGCAGTCGTTCTTTACTTTACAGCGGAACATTCGTCGCTATGGAAATGATCCCTTGGGAGTCAAAAAGGCAAGTTTCTTCTTCTTTATATTTTTTTAAAACGACTTTACTATGGACGAGGCTGTATTGGAGTCAAACCACACTTTTGTATCAATCAAGAAAACTAGCTGTAGCACTTATATATACGCAGTACGAGAGTATGTTCGTTCGGCCAAGGTGGTCTTATGACTGGGAATGACCGGGGTGGTGGGGGTGGAAGTGGGGGGGGGGGGGGCGGATGGAAGGTCGATTACAGCTGCCAGGCCTTGCGCTCCGCCAGGCGGGAATTCAAATCGTGTTGAATTTCCTTCCGAAGATATAAATTACTCGTTTACGTCAGAAACAAGATGAAGAAAGCAAAAATGACCTATAACAACTACTGTGGAGTGTAATGAAGAAAATTTTCAGCCTTTTTTAATACTTGCAATGGATGCAACTTTCAAGATGTCACCGCGCTGAATTCGGAGGAAGGGCGACAGCGTACTTGCTTGCTTCGCAACTGTGGGAAAGGGTAAGAATACATATAGTTTACTTCCTTCTCGATCTCGGATTTAAGCTTAATGTTTCAACTGTGAATTTCACGGGGCAAATCGAATTTCATGGCTTGTAAAGCCTTCATTGCAGGTGCTTGAGTGAGTTTACGCGATAGGACGGCAGGAAGAAGAGGACGGCAAAACGCTGGAGTGTGACAAACGTGACATGGCCATTATTTGTCGTAATCGTCCCCAACATTAATATTTTCTGGTCGTTTAAAAAACATCTGTGAAAGAGAGAAAGAAGTTGAAGTTTGGCGGAACGTTTTTTCAAACAAAACTATTGTCACGCTTGTCAGGTTTGCCGTATTCTTTCCTCTCCTGTTCACTGATGGCGGCAGAGAATGTGGGGACAGCAAATATTAAACGGGGCGCGAGTGGTGACTGAAGTCGTTTCCCTTGCCTTATCCAATTACCTGGCATTCGTGACCAGTTGACATAAAACAGTTGATCCCTTTGCGCAAACAAACCGGTAAAAGCTATTGTATTCTAAGCAAACCTTAACATACATTGTTTCATAATTAGCTTTAACAAAAGATACCAAAGATCATAGCAGATATTTGTGACCTGAGTAAGTGTTTTATCTTTTCATTCCTGTCCAGGTTTTGATAGTATGTGTTTTATCCACAATGCTAGTCACCAAGTTCTTGTTGTTCTTGTTGTCCGACTTTCAACAATATTATTATTCAATAGATTTTTTGTCAATCACATCTTATTAATTTGACTGATGCATATTCAATGTCAAATTTGCCATTTTGAATACCCGTTTGAAGTTTTCTACCAGATTGACTGACGCATATTCAATGTAAAAAATTTGCATTTTGAATAGCCGTTTGAACTTTTCTACTAGACTGCAGGCATATTGCATTAAAGTGACCTCCAAGATCTGATTTTGGATTATGCTAGTGATCATAGAAAACAGCTGCCACAACTATGATGTCTGGGTAGTGACATGTTATCAGTATGGAATTTCTGCACTTGTTCCCCCGACTCTGGCATGGTAGTGATTCAAACATTGTGCTTATGCCGTGTTAAACTAAATTTGTAAATTTTGAAAACTAGTTTCAGAGCTACTGTCTTGATACTACATTCACAACTACATTCAACTCAGTCACAAGGTATGTATGGATGTTGTGCTTCTGTTGTCCTTCGGTTAAACCCAATACAATATTATTGAGTTTGGCAAAGGTATGACGTATGAACTGGGCCTCAGAGGGATTATAGTCCCTGCAAACTTTATTTAGATTTATTTTATCTTTATATTAATATTTCATAAGATATAGCATGTACAATTCTTGACCCTTGATCACTCCACCTTTGGTGGCTGTCAATTTTTGTACTAGCTTAATTTTTGGCATACATTCAGGCTGGCCAAGTGGCCGGCTGCCGGCAAGAATCGCCGCCTACTTGGTAAGTATCAGCTGGCTACTCTGCTTGGCATTTCTTTATGGATGGCATTTTTTAAATAAAATATCCCTGGACTGGAGCTGCTTCCTTTGACAACTCAGCCTTCTACTTCAAAAATTTCTGACAACCCTGTATATTCAGGGGAACTTTAGAATAATTTAATAGTTTTTAATTCATAAGCATAACAAGCATTATTTGACATTTTAGTTTGAAAGTTTACAAAACCACTCAGTAAATCAGATTTTTTATGCATCCTTTTACTCAGAATATCAGAAATTACGTTGAACCTCCACTAACAACCACCTCTCCACAATGGCCAACTCTCTACAATGGCCTCTTTCTTCTGTCTCCGACATGGTCATTGTGGAAAGGTTCAACTGAGCCTCAAGCCATTAGGCATGGAGATCCTAACCCTTCTGACCCAAGCAACAGCTTAATATGGCTTCTTTTTGGTATTCAGCTATTTCAATGAAAATTCTTGGATTTTAAGGCCTCAAACTTACACTGTATGCGACTAGACTGCAAGGTCATGCAAATAGCTGTGAATCCTTTGAAACTGGTAAAAATTTCATGGATAGTATAAAAGGTCAAAAATGGTTACCTTTGTTGTTTTATGGCAGGAACAGTTTGGTTCATGGCTGTGTTTAGTAACTTTTATAAATGACCTTTTTGTAATCCTGCAATGTTCATTGAAATATTTACAATGGCGGATTCAGATCTGGAAGGAAGTGGAAGGGTGCTACCAGATCTTGTGATAAAAGGGGTGTCCCCCCTCCCCCGTCCTAAAAAAAGGATCCCTTGGCCATGCAGGACTCATTCTTTGGCAAAAAATAAGGGGGGTCTCCCTAGATCTGCTAATGTTAACCCATTAAGCCCCTATATGCACCAACAAAGTCCCTAGACTGATCTCCGTACCTTGTACATCACCTTAAAGAATCAGTTGAGAGATTTGAAAAGATCAAACCATTTTCTTTTTGGTGATTATTTTATTAATTCTTCAAACCTTTTCCCTTGATGATTTACTGATATTTCTAGGAGAAAATTGATGTTGATCAGTCTTAGACTTAAAGGGTTAAAGAACAAAGACATCAATGCAACTTGCCTAGCCCCTGTACCGCATTTTCCCAGGCCTTCACAGTCAATGTATTTCAGGGATGTATCCGAGACGAATGGCCGGGGAAAAAAAAACTTGCTCAGACCACGTGACCAGAAACGCATCGACCGGGTGCAATAATGCCGCCTAGGGACTAGGAAAAAACAACAACCTGGTTTCCAGTGTCTCTCTCTCTGTTCCCTGTCTCCAGGAAGAGAGACCCTGGGAACCAGGTTGCATGACAGGAAGTGAAGAGCAAAAGATACTAACCGTGTGCATTCATGATGTATTCACGATTGAAGTTTGAAAAATGAAAGACAAAAAAGATATAAAACAACAATTCTAATCAGCTTAACATCCTGTCTTTTTCTCGCATTTTTTTAAAACCTGGGCGCGGTTTACACTTTCAGTAGTATAACGTAAGAATATTGAGGCTGAAATTTGCGAAATTTTTAGAATATTTAAAGAATGAACCTGAAGCTGTAAATGATATGATTTTTTTGTGTTGAAAATCTGTAAATACAATATGTGTTCTTAGCTTAACCGTACAAAATTATTCCTTTCTCTAGACTAACCAACAAAACAAAAGAACGTGGAAACTTATTATATAAATTGACGATATCCAAATCTAGGAGTTTTATTCAAGACAATAATATAATCATTACTGACAAAAAAGCAATGAAAAAGCGACTTTAGGTTTCCAGATATTTCGAAAAACCCGTAAAGAAGAACGGCACTTCTTCGTCCGAAATATCGGGAAACCTCAAGTCGATTTTGTCTTGGCTGTTTTGTCATTTATGTTTGAAAAAACAAGCAGTAGCAGTAGTTGATACCCCAATACATACTAAAACGGAAATGTCATAAGCTATAATTTAAGAATAATACAAGCATATTTTCAGTCTAAAATCGGCGGAAAAAATAAGAATATTTAGCCTGGACCAGAAGGAAAGCTTGCTCAATCGCGACATAATGGTGCTCAGATATTTAGAATTGCTAATAGATTCCGGCTTACTATATTGGCACTGCTTCTAAAATCCACCAGGACTGCTAACAAGTCAGTAAATTTAAAGAAATGTCATAAAATTGGCAAGTTTCATGGTGAAGTATTTGAAATGGTGAATATACGCTTTGAATAACGAATAAATTGATCTGCATCTTACAAAAAATGTATTTTGTTAAAAATTTCTGACTGCGGATGGGTCATAGCTTGGTAAAACTACAAGGAAGTTGTTTCGCTAAAAGGGGCCAAGTCACGCGGTGATTGCTGTTTTAGGTCAATCTGAAGTCATTACTTGGTTCAACTTTACTCAATATGCCTCTTTAGAGTTAAAATAAGAAGGTATGAAACAAATTTTGTCAGGGAGCGCTCCAATCATAATATTTTTTTGATGATTTTTGCAGGCATAACATCAAAACTTGAAAACGTTGGCTCAATTTTTTCACGTTTCAATCCATGTTCGTCCTTGCCATCGGTAGCAACAGTAGCCTGTGTACAGACCTCCCTTCCCCTCAGTAAAAACCGCAGAAGGGCCCTTCTCCGATTTTTACTGAGGGGAGGGGGGTTCTGTACACAGGCTATAGCAACAGTTTCAAACCTAAATATAGTCTTAGATAACAAAACTGGACTATTATTTTATTGAATTCAATTGATGCTCAAGACGCGTTTTCGCTTTCTAAAAAGACAGGAAATAACGTGACATACCCCCTTGGGAAAGAAAATGTTTGACTTACCGGAACTTGGCCACTTTCCTACACATGTATGTATTTGTGAGTTTCCAAAAAAAACGGCGAATTTTCGCTACCAGGCCAATATCTCAATTACAGTTTCCCACCAGAAGGTCTGCTGATTTTGATATGAGATTCCCCCAAATGTTTCTAACCTAAAGGACTGTCCTTTTCACTATTGTTGTTCGTTAATTCTCGTTTTTTTTTTTCGTTCTTTCTTTTAGCTTCTTCTTCGGGTTCACGCGTGGCGGTTTGGACCTCTTAAATTGTGAGTAATTCTTTACTGTTTAATACCGGAATGCTTCTGTTAATAGAAAATAATGTTTGCTCAAGGTTGAAACGAATGCAGCGCGTTTTTAGTTGCTCCAAACTAAAATCGTCACACACAGTGACATTTAACTTAAAAATGTGTTATTTATGTGGACTTGACAGGAACAGACCTGTACCCCGACTTTCGCGTCTTGCTTTAGTTTATAAAAGCGTTTTTGTGCCTCATACGTGCCCTTATCGTTTCTGAATATTCCCCAGTTTGGGAAAATCAGGAAGAAAAACGTCACGACTAGGGTACAATCCGTTTATTTTATTGAACTACAAACATCTTTTCATTGCCTGAAGAATTAAGAGCTTCATCCCGTCCATACAGTGAATGCGATTCTGAAAGGATATTACCGGCTCTTATAATGAATACAAATTATCGTATGAACTTCCTGTAATCGTAAAACTGTGAGTTCGTCATAAGAAATTGTAATACCTGTCTTAGACGTCAATCAAGCAACTTGGCGATCGTAGAAGCTCTCTCAAACGGCAACGCCTACCTAGGCCATGATCCAGGTACTCTTAACAGTAATAGTTATATTTGAAGGTGATGCGGCTCATACATATGTCCCGATGGAGGAGAAATAGTTCCATCATTGCTAGTTTACTCTAATAGTACACTGTGACTAAAACATGCTTGGTGTAGTTCGAAAAAAAACGTCGTATTCAAAAGACTCTAATCTTGCTAACCTGAGATTCTGAAACAAGGGCTGAAGAAAGAGTGACCGACATCATCTTTCTCCTGACAATAACGATGCACAATAAATAAAAAGGTTATGAGAATTGATAAAATAGCTCTCTCAACTCATAGAAATGTATAGAAACCAGTCTGGAGAATTTGGTTGTGGATATTAAGGTTTAAAGGGTCAAGGCTGAGAAAGAAAAATTACGACTCAAATTGGGCTTTAAGAGCAAAGAAAAACGAAGATCTCCCATCAGTATTCGCAATGCGAGTGTTTATGCGATATTTGTATCGGACGTATATATCTCTGTGACTATCATTTGTCCACCAGTGGGATTTGGGATGTCGATGAGTCAGTTGTATCTGTAATAAAAATGTGGTGATGGGTATGTGACTAACTAACAATTATTGGATCCGTCTTTCGTATGAATCATGATCCGAGGAATCATGGAGATCAAGGAGGGTGTTATCCTACGAGAGGGCGCGAAGTTTTCTCAGACTTGAGTGTTACAATTTTTACCTTAGCTTTACAGAACACCATAGCTTATATCGTGAGAGGGTGCAGAGTTTTCCCAAACTTGAGTGTTACACCATGGCTTATTATATCTCGTTGACCGCGGCAAATTCTCCGTAGTCAATTTCTCCATCACCATCTCTATCTAGAATTCGAATTAGCCTCTTAAGCTGCGGATCACTGAGTGGTACATTCAACTTCTTCAATCCGACAAACATCTCATCTGGACTTACGCTCTGCGTTTTGTCTTTGTCCAAACAATTGAACAGATCGACGGCCCTGAGTCTTTTCTCCAGCAAGAAATTCTTCAGGGCCGTCAGTAGCTCGTGCTTCACCCTTCTGCCGGAATCTTTGTTGAAGTTGCCAAACGTACTTGCCATGGTTCCTCTTCTGTTACGGTTTATTTGTGGATTGGCACCGTAGTTAATTTAAAAATCGGGTTTTTCTTTCATGTAGTCCTCCAGTAGACCTGTGAACAGGGTTTTGAAATTACAGGCAAGGTTATTCGCTATAAATTTGCCATGAAGCATTTCTCTCGCACGTTTAAACCTATCTTGTGTGGCAGGAGTAACCGGAAGGGGAGAAAGTGAGACTCGTCCCTCCCCCCCTGGTCATTGAAATACCCCCTTACCCTCCCAACCCTTAATCCCTCCAAGGAAAATTGTTTGCTACCTTGATGGGTCCGGTCGAAAGTTCGAAGAAATGGAGTAAGCGTACTTTCATTAGAAAATTCTAGGAGACTTTATTTTCTCTATACTGATATTATCAGGAGGAATTTTTTTAACAATAATCGCCGTTTCTTGGTAATAAAATGTGAAAAACACAACCTCCGAATATCTTAGAATCTGATAGAACTGTTATCCAGACATCTGTAGCCTTGTTTGAGCTTTAGACATTTCTAGGCAATATTTGCTCCTTCAAACAGTAATTTAGCAGAATAAAAGTCGTTGCATGCCCCTGAACGCAATAAGAACAGAAAAAAGGCCATACCTAAAAAGTTCTTCTTCACGGTGATATTATCCAAGTGCAGCTCCCCCAAAGCAGAGTTGGAGTTTGTTTTGATCGCTTTCATCAGTGCAAAACAGCCGCTGTTTCCCAAAGGATTTGAGCCGATTTTTAGCGCGCGTAACGTTTGATTTATCTGGAGACCTTTCGCCAAGGCCAACGCTCCTTTTTCCGTGATTCGGTTGTAGCTTAGATCAAGCTCCAGAAGTGTGTCGTTCTTTTTAAGTGCTTCTCCCATGGCTTCGGCCCCCTCGTCCGCAAATCCATTCCAAGAAAGATCCAGGATCTCTATAGCGCTGTTGTGTTTCATACCTTTACAGATAGCGATGGCGCCTTTCAATCGGAGATGGTTCCAGCTCAGATTAAGCTCAGTTATGCTATTGTTTTTCGCCAGTGCAGGACCCAGAAACTCACCACCGCTTTCGCAAAAGGAGTTTTGACTCATACTGAGGTATTTTAGACTCATCGTCTTTTCCAAGCCTTCGGAAAGCGGCTTTGCGTCCTTGTCCACTAGGTTATTGAACGATAGATCTAACCACTGAAGGTATCTATTTTCCGATATCACTTTGCTCATCGCGCGCGCTCCGCCCGAAGTCATCATATTACCCGCGAGATTTAAGAACTTGATATAACAATTTTCAAGCAACATCTTGGCGAACCATTCCACTCCTTCCTCTCCGAGGCTGTTTTCTTGCAAGTCAAGCTTTTCCACTGTCGTGCTCTTTATGAGGGCCTTGGCAAGAGCCCGTCCCCCTTGTGGCCCTAGACCGTGGTGGGCTAACATGATTTCCGGAGTGTGGATTGCTTCGAGCACGGCTGTCGCTGGTGAGACTCCTAGAGCACGACAAGTGCGCAGATACGACGATTTCCCCGTGATGTCTGCACTTCTGCGAGTTTTTCTTACTTCTTTGCTTGAAATTTCTAAATCTGTGTCCCAGCCGTCGTCGCTGTTTCCATCGTCTCCTTTCACATCTTCCACCTGCTCTTGATCCCTCGTTTCGTCTTCTTTTAGCTCTTGAAGTGATTCCTCAATTTGACGAACTGTGTTTGCAAATCGTACTGTGGCCGACTTTTTGTTTGGCCTATTTTCCATTCTGTAAGTGAATTGACCAAGTTATATTGTTCTTTTTCTGTCTTCCTTTCGAAAGAAACAATCGGTTCTTGGCGCTCGATTTTTGTTTGGCCGGCTTAATATCCGATAAACTGCTTTTATACAACTTGGTTTTCGTCTTTGTAACTAACTGTCCGTTCAGTATTGTACTTTGAACTAAACCTGTATCAAGTCTTGTGCTTCTTCAACGTTTGATAGCCTAGATTTTGCCAAATTCTAAGCAGGAAACGGGCGGCTTAAAGTTATTAGCTGTTTGAAGCTTTGACTTATTAACACATACTAAACTTAGCCGATAAAAGCTGTGTGTTTTTGTCTTTTAATTACGTCAAGGAAGAGCTTTGGGCATGTTAATTATCCCTTTAAATTCAACTTAAGATTGCCTGACAAACACGGTTTCCCCGGAGAATTAAGGTGGCTTTTGACTACCTTTAGAAGGCTTTCGGTAAGCAATATTGCTTGCTTTCATTGGATGGTAAGAAACGTAAAAGCTCCTTTTTAGATAACACTTTTCTTGTAGCACATGCAAGGAAACGATAGAACCGTTGTTCGCATGGTCATTGTGTCTCCAGTTTTTTTGTTTTCCTTCAGTTTTTTTTAGTTCAATGAGAAGTGTTAATTGTGACATTAAGGCTATTCAGTAAGATGTAATTAGATGTATTGTGTCTTTTGTACAGTTGTGGTGAAATTTCCTTTCGGTGATTAATGCTTATAAAGGTTTTCTTTCTGCTCGCGCTGAACCGAAAAACAAAGCTATGATCTGTTAGTTACTGTAATTCCTTAGCTATTGAATGTAGTTCTGTATTGTATATTCCAGTTCAAAACAAGTCAATCTTTAGTGCTTCAGTCCATATGTAGAAGCTTAAGGTCTGCTGTATTAGTTCTTCAGACACTGTTAGGTTGTCAGGCAACGAAGAGATAATTTTTTATTGCTAATTTAGCTTAAGTGGGCCATTTTCGAGTGTATTTTTTAAAGTTGCGGAAATCATTTTTGGTTCGCTTTCGTGATGTGGTGTGGGTTGTCATTCTGTGTCTTTAAAAGCTTTGGTATTACGTCATTTGTTGTTAACACCGGCTCGCAACACCAAGAAAAAAAGTGTTAGGGCCTGATAACGAGAAAAAGCAGGACAGAGAGGGAGCTTAGTACTAGTTAGACTTTCTCAAAGTCCTTCGCTTCTCATTTCACGTTCCCCTAAAGCTCTCAATCTCTTGCTCGCTTTTGCCGCAGAAAACAAAAAAATCTACCGCTCGCGCTTCGCGCTCGTGAAAAAATTTGGGCTCGACTTGTAGGCAAGCCTAAGTACTAGGAAAATCATAGTTATTAGAGCAGACTGGTTATGAAAGGCAACAAACATCAAATATAAAAACCACAGTGCTGCAGTTTATGTTGGAAGTTCCCTGAAGGTGCACAATCCTTTTTTTTCTGTTGGCAAATTGCGACGGAATGAATTAATGGGACGTTTTTATGGGTCAATAAGATCAAAATGCTAGGAATGCTATTGAATGCTCTGCACCGTCAGGTCCACAAAAACATGTGGCAAAGGAGTCTAACAGGTTTCATAACCATTCCAATCTATTAACTATGGTAAAATACATCGTGGAGCTAACTTGATAGTCAGCAATATTTCTGTGACAGATGGTCTGACAAATTGCATTCTTTATGGGAAAAATTCGAGCAAAATACTGATTAAAAATGCTCCTTAAAAAATGAGTAAAAAGGGATAATTTCCGGCAGTCTTTCTGTTGCCTTCGTTCGAGTAAAGTAACGACTATTAATAAAATATTTTACAAGCTTGTCAGAGCAATTTATTTTTCTGGAAAACTTCCAACTTTTGTGGCAAACTAAGATAAAATGTAGAGAATTAGAGAATCCAAGAATAAGCATTTTGTCATATCTATTCCATGATATCAACGTATTTTTCAAAACGTTTTTTACCATGAGCTGTGACCCCGGAATTGTACTCAGGTGAAACCTGGCGCAAATTTTCCTATTATAAGGATTGGGCCTATACAGCTTCGTGGGGGCGTTTTGCTGGGTGGGTTTGTAAACAGAGGCATTGTGGCGCTTATATCTGAATGGGTTTAAAAGCAGTTTAAAAGTGAACCCTGAGCTGGTACCCTTTGCAGCTAGCCATTCAGGTGGTCTAAGACCGCCGTACTGGCGAGCAAACGTCGCACTGGGACAAGACAAACAAAGGCATACATAATTCTAAATAGTAATTTCCTTTGTTTGCCTTGTCCCAGTGCGACTTTTTCTCTCCAGCATGGCGGTTTTGTACCACTTGAATGGCTAGCTGCAAAGGACCGGAACCGGAAGCCTAATGTCTCTCTCGCTCCGTAGGAAGGGGTAAGAGAGATCCCTGGGGACAAGGTGGCCACAACCTACTTGTTATTTCCGGTATTTCGAAAAGAAAGAAAAAGAAGAGGGCTCGTGATATCTGTTGAGAGGGAGAAGGGTGGGGAGGGTGGGTGGGGGGGGGGGGTGGTGTAACTGAAGCTAAGTATACTTTTAGGTTCGTATTGAGATGGGCGTATTATCGGGAAGTGGGAGGGAGTATATTTGGAGACGCTTAAAAGCCAGGATACAGTATGCATTGTAGTTGATTGAACAGGGTTGGGAAAATGTTGATCAAACCGGGATTAATTCTAGTAATTCTATTTGTAAAGTTCTTTGCATTCGTTGACTTGAAGTAACAATTTATCAGCAAAATTTATTTCAAGAAATCACTTTCAATTTAAAGCACAATACTACAACTTTCTTGCTAAGCCACAATGTAACTTGATTCTGTTATTATTATTATTGTAAATCCATGTCTCGTTCTGACCAGCGAAATATTTTATTTAGTAGCGGCGACACTTATCCAAATAGCACAGCGAGATACTATTGTAATAAATGATTCGAAAACAAAGGGCACACTTTACTAATTATATAACAAAAGCAAAGCAAAGCTAAGGTCACTGCTTTATGAAATAAGCGCTGTTATGCATGGCTAAATTATACCATTACACCAGTTTTTGTTCTAACAGATGACGGAAATTTTGTTCCAGTAGTTAAATAGAGATCTTTTTCACTAGAAAAGTTAGCACTGTTACCTTTAGTGAAGGAGATTACACCCTCTCCCGATTGCAAAATGATAAAACTTCTAACATTTGATAACTTTTTTCCCCACTTCGACACTCTCGCTAAAATTCGTAGTAGAGTGACGACGGCTACCTCGTTTTCCCGCCAAAATGACGCTGGTTCACGCCCAGGCCCTACTCGTACTCGTTGTCGTACTCGTCTTTGGATCTAAAGTTCTCTAATATTTCACGTTATGGCTACATTTTGTTTCGAGGCGGGCTGATTTGCTTTGTTCTAACTTGCTTTATGCCTTGACTCCGACTCAAAGAACTCTGATAAAAGCTAAACATGGGATGTAGCAAATAGGTAAATTAAACGAGTGATGAGAATAATGAGACGGATGGGGAATCTTGACATGTCAATTTCACTTAAGTTATTCTTAGAGGCTGTAATTAAATGCAAGTCCAATTCCTGAGACATCCGCACCTTTTAATCGATTGTGTGAAACGTTATCAACTCCACGCGCGACTGCTTCATAGCAAACAATGCAGAATATTGTAATAGCTACATACTAAGAGTGCATGAAGTCCCATTTTTCTCTGTTGACAACGCTGAATAAACATTTGCGGATCTCTTCGGAAACCAACTTTCGATGAATTTCAAGCTTTTAATTGGTCTTATCATCATAACCCAACGGCTAGACTGGGAGTTTCCCTCACCGTCTCATTATCGTCTTTTGGTGCTGTACCATCTCATCTAAATTATTAAAGTTCTACATTTACGTATAATTTTCAGCACTACGAAAAAGACCTTATCCGGTGGCATGCTTTGTTGCCGCAGTGTGTATTACGTTACAATACTCAAGGGAGTATGCTCTTAGTTCCAAATTCAGTGGGCATATCATGCTCGCTTGCGTTCTTTTTTTCCAACAAAACAAAGCATGAAATCTCGTGGGTATGGTCGCATCGTTACTGGGGCAACAAAATGTACAAGGGAGTGAGGCCTTTTTAAATATATTAGAGCTTTTTTGAGCTGCTGTATCGAGTCTTGAATTTGTGCTACCAAAGAGGAAATTCCTCTGCAAAGTTCTGTTCTAGGCAGTTAAAATGTGGTCTTCTTGGACTTGGTGCTCTTTACTGTAACTATGCGGGTTGTCTTGGTTGTTCCGCCTCCGTCAACTTCACCGTCCAAGTCCAGGTCAAGTGTGGTTGCTTCTGCCGAGGGCCCAAGATCTTTGTCACTCCCGCCAAGGTCAAAGAACGACTCGATTTCCTTCTTCGTGGATGTAGAAAGACCGTCGGATTGTCTCCGTGTCTCACTTTGAAAAGTGCGTCGAGTGAATGATTTATAAGCGTCCTCTCTTTGAAGGCCTTCCTCGGTGCTGTCCCCAGTCTCGACTTGCTTGTCACGAAGGAGGCTGAGGCTTTGTTCTGAAAACTGAGCGGAACTTGATCGGCTGATGTCCTGGGATCCCGATCCCCTCTTACTACTCAACGCAGAAAGTTGAAGCCTTAAGCTCTCCTTCTCTCGTTCGGCATCGTCAAGTTGCTGCTCAAGGCGGAGGATCTTTTTGCGCTGGTTGGCGACTTCAACGGAGATCAGAGCCTTTGACTCCTGAATCGATGAATTCTCTCGACTGAGCTCCGAAATCCTCTGTTGTACCACCTCCATTTCGTTCTCTAAATCCCTATTTGCACCCTTGCTAACTTCGTTCTTCTCCTCTAGTTCAGAAAGTCTTCTTTGGTAGATGACCACTTCGTCGCGTAGACTCGCGCTTCTGACCGTCTCAGTGTTGTAGTTGATTGTTAACCTTTCAATGGTCTCTTGTGATCTCTGAACCTGATTCTTTAGCTCTCCGATCACCTTGTAACAGCTCAGAAGTTCCTCT